TGAACTTCCCAAAAGTGATAGCTATGATGCAATCATCATCATAGTCAATCGCTTCTCAAAAGCAATCATTCTGATCACCTGCTCAACAGAATTGACATCTGAGAGATGGGCAAAAATCCTACAGAACGAGGTTTATGCAAAATATGGCATGCCTCAAGTAGTGATTTTAGACAGAGGACCACAATTCATCTCCAAATTTTTGGACGATTTGTACCGACTCCTCAATATTAAGAGAAATGCCTCAATAGCATATCATCTACAAACAGATGGCCAAACAGAGTGGGCCAATCAAGAAATTGAAAAGTATCTTTGACTTTTCATCAACTATCAACAAGACGATTGGATAGAATGGCTAGCATTGGCAGCATTCCAACATAACAACAGAGTTCACTTGGCGACAGGGAAGATCCCATTCTTTGTCAACTATGGAAGAAACCCACCAGTTGCACAAACTGGATAGGCACACATGACCACCTCAGCATCATTGGATTTTACAACCACAATGACAAAAATCCATGAGGAAACAAAGATGGCCCTTGAAAAGGCCACCTCCACAATGAAAAAACAGTATGACAAGCACTGTAAGCCAGCACATGAATATTCAGCCAATGACAAAGTTTGGCTGGATACAACAAACTTGCATCTCCCTTGCCCAAAACAGAAGCTAGCAGACAAATGAACAGGACTGTTTAAAGTCATCACCAAAATTAGCAACTCTACATACAAGTTGCAACTCCTAGCAACTTGAAAAGTTCATAATGTCTTTAATGAGACATTATTAACCCCATATATCACACCAGCCTTTTCAAACCAAGAACAACCACCTCTACCACCACCAGAACTCATTGATGATGAAGAACACTATGAAATCAATGAAGTACTAAAATACAAAACACAAAAGGTTAAAGTATGAGGAGAAGGCATGAAAACAACTGTTGACTACCTAGTCAGCTGGAAGGGATATGAATCCGAATCAAACCAATGGGTTAATGAAAAATACATGAACATAGAGAATGCCATCTGTGACTACAAACATCAGAATAATTGACTAACAAAGTAGTCGACAACAAATGAAAAAGGATGTACATCTAGTCAGATATACATCAACTGACCTGCTAGAAATGGTGTGATGATCAATCCTGCATAGACTGGAGGACTTATCCCTAATTAAACCATCAGGATGATGGTCTTAAGAAGAAGGTAATATTACAATTTTTTCTATTTTCCTTTTCTTTTTCCTTGAAATTGACCCCTATCTTTGCTTAGTCAGAGCACCTAGGACTGTGGGAAGACTTAGTCAGCAACCCAGTCAGTCTTGGTTCTATTGTGCTGCTGTGTGCTGTGAAGAGAGAGACAATGCTCCTTTTATCCTCAAACTGTGGTGCAGCAGTAACAGCATAACAGCAAGACAATAGCTTTGTGGAGAGCTGAGTAACTGCAGTAGTAACAGCTCAACAGCCAGACAATATCTTTTGTGAACACTTATTTATAGACAGAGAACCAAACAGTATTTAAGTAGCATAGCTCTCACTGTAATACCTCAGCTTTGAACTAAAGTTTATTCTTTACTATCCTATCTCGAGTGACTTGCAACACCTTGATCACACACTCTATTCAACACATCAGTGAACTCAGTCAGTCTAACCTGAAGTGTGAGATTCTGAACTGTTTATCATGTGTTGATAGTCATATGGAGTTTGGACTTAATATATTCTCCATCTCAAAATGGAGTTGCTGAGAGAATAAACCGGACCCTTGTGGAGCATGCATATGCTATACTAGAAGAACATCACTTACCAAAGTTTCTATGGCCTAAGGCAGTGGCATATGCCACATACCTGAAGAACCGATGACTAATCAGAGCTATCAAAAATGATCTACCTCCAAAAGAAGTGTTTCAGGGCATGAAACCAGATATTTTGGCACTCCAGGAATTTGGAGTAAAGTGCTAGGTGTTGCAGCAAGATAACAAGAGGTCAAAACTGGACCCAAAGTCAAAAGAATTTATTTTCACAGGTCTTACAGATGAATCCAGGGCCTGAAGATATTATAACCCTCAAATCAGGCAGATTCAGACCTCAAGATATGTTATATTTTCTGAAAACAACACTACAGAGCCTATAGACACTGACTATATAGTCTCTCATTCTTTGTCACTCAAGAAGGAGTCAGAGAGCAAAGTTGAGCAGACTCCAGATAGAAATGATGGCATTTTGGATGATTCTATGGATACCAGAAATGCTGAACCAAAAGGGGAAATAGCCTCTGATATGTTATTGATCAAATCAAAGTTTCTAATATAGCATGAGAAAATGATCAAGCCACATGACAAATTAGCCTGGATCGCATCAAAGACCCAACCGAGTTACTAGACACTTCATAATCCAAGTGCACAAGCTGTGAAAACATCAGAACAACAGCATACCTCAGAAGAATCATCTTTAGAAGCTGTAAATATTGCAATAGACTATGCATGCATTGAAGAAACTGCAGACAACCTCAGTGATGAGCCATTAAGCTTTGAAGAAGCCAAGACAAGGTCAGACTGGCATCATTGGAAGAAAGCAATGGATGAAGAATACAATCTATTGACTTCCCTAAGCACATGGCAGCTGGAAAAATTACCCAAAGACAGATCACTTGTGGATTGCAAGTGGACTTACAGATTGAAAAGGGATGGTGATGAGAAAATCACCAGGTACAAGGCCAGACTTATTGCAAAAGGATTTTCACAGGTACCCGGCATTGATTTCTTCGAGACATATGCACCAGTTGTCAGGCTGGACACATTCTGCCTACTCATGGCAATTGCCACTCAAAGAAACCTAATCATTCATGGAATGGACATTGTTGAAGCTTACTTAAATGGTAAACTCAATGAATCCATTTATATGGCACAGCGACCTGAATATTCAGATGGGAGTGGAAAAGTGGCACACCTCAAATTAATGTTGTATGGACTCAAGCAATCTGGCTGAGTTTGGAATGACAAATTAAATGCTACATTTTTAGGAGTTGGATACACCAGATTGATCAGTGATCAATGTGTGTACATCAGACAAATGAGTTCTGGTCCTATAATTGTAGCTGTACATATTGATGACATGATATTGCTTGCCTCAAATGATGAAACCATGTCTAAAATGAAAGAAGAGCTTAAGAAGAAGCTAAATGTCACAGACATGAGGGAGATTCAATATATATTGGGCATAAAGATAGACAGGAATAGGGACAAGAGCACTATCACTCTATTCCAGAAGGCATATATTCTCAAAGTACTCGAGTGAATGGGCATGAATGACTGTCAACTGGTCAAAATGCTTATGGACTTGAATGTATAGCTAGAGAAAATTCTGATAGAAGACCCACAAGGTGTTGACACAGCCATCAGGCAATATTACCATACTGGTGTTGGATCACTAATGTATGCAGCCAATGGATCCTGGCCTGACATTGCACATGCTATCACTGAATTAAGCAAGTACATGCAGAATCTGGCTGCTAAGCATGTCACAGCCTTGAAGTGAGTTTTCCACTATCTGAAGGGAACTCTAGACTTCAGAATCACATATAGAGGGACTATGGATGAGCTGATACCTTATTCAGACTCAGACTGGGAAGAAGACAGAACAGATAGAAGATCAACATCTGGTTATATCTGTACCTATGCAGGAGGAGCTGTTACTTGGAGTTCAAAGAAACAGCCTACCATAGCCTTATCCACTATGGAAGCAGAATATATGGCCCTTGCACACACAACCTGGGAAGTAATTTGGCTATGAGCACTCTTAACCAAATTAGGATTGCCATCTTATGAAGTGATGACTATTTTCATCGACAACCAATCAGCAATCAAATTTGCTGAAAACCCCATATTCCATGCATGATCGAAGCATATAGACATACAGCACCACTTCGTTCATGAGCACATGGCTTCAAATAAAGTCAAAGTTCAGCACTGCACATCAGAGGAGAACTTAGCAGATATATTCACTAAAGGCCTACCAAGACCATTACATGAGTATCTATCTGCAGGTATTCTAGGAACTCAGAATTGAGGGGGAGTGTTGGGATAGCAATCCTGAGCGAGTACAAGAATGTACTCGAAGATATGATGCCAGTCAGCGGCAGCTGACTTGGATCGTGATCTGGACTTATTTAGTATTTCATAGAAAGATCTCGAAGTAATACAAAATGTATTTAAGTAGAACGTCTCTCTCTCGAGAGGCTAATTCTAATCCTCTGTACATTACTCTGCTCTCTACTTACAACACTTGCATAGCCACAACTAAGATTGCAGTACATAAACAATCAGTCGAAGTACGCATTGAATAATTCAACAACGTAAATGCAATATGACAGCGTTTTGTACGCGAAAGTCATACTGTACTGGTAAAGTTGGTATAGAGTTGAGATACATGTTAACGTGAGCGGTAATAACTGAATCGCGTGGGGGGTCGTTGAAGATTTGTGACATGAATTATCCGAGTCGGCAAGCGTGATCTACAACTCCATGCGGAGACTGATTTATACCGCTAGGGTAAAACACTTCTGAATGTGGATAGTCCACAAATAGTATGCTGCACCAGCGACTAAGCGTATCTATCATATGATAATTCAGGAGGGTATCAGCTAGCATGGATCAGAAGAAATTTCTCTCGCAGGATCTTAGTGGTCTTTCCACTAGTTCATTGAAATGTCTCCTGAGTCAACAGTATGATTCATATTCTATGTATGATTTTATGCTAGGATGATACGCAGCAACCAATCTAAGACACTGATTTATAATGAACGCGACTCGGGGCCGCCCAGGATCTGCGGTCCGTGGTATACTGCAAAGAATATAACAGATCTTCCGAGTCGGCAAGCACGATTCACAGCTCCCTTTAGAATATGATTTGCATCTCCCCTTCGGCAACGACACACCGCAAGCGATGATCTGCGTTGTGAAAGGAAAATATTGGGAGCGAATAAATATTGTTAAGTTACTAGTACAGTCGAATGTGGTGCACTAGAGAGGAATTCCTTCAATGACCCGGTGAACAACAGCATCAACTACCAATCCAGCAAGTATCAGATTCCCAATCGTCGGCGTGTGCAAGAAAAACTTCATACATTGCCTCGGCTTGTCAACATCCGTCACGACGAGTTCCTTCAGAAGAATGGATGTAGAAAGCGCCACGGCAACATAATACGCAATCCCCTGCTCGTTGAGGACACCAGCCAATGACATCAACACTGCAAAGCCGACAGTGGTGGCGGAGCAGATGTAAATCGTGTATTTGCCGCACAATATGGCGAGCGACTTGATGCCAATCTTGACATCATCCACCTTGTCCTGGTGCTGATACACCGTCTCGTATGTGATTGTCCACATCGTCGCACCGAGGTATGCAGCAGTGAGGGCGTGGTAGGAAATTTTGGCGTCAGGCGCCAGGTCTGCCCAGCCCATGTAGATACCGATGTTGAACATCAAGCCCTAAGGGAACGTCAGATCGCTGATTTCTGCATGAATCACAAAGGTACTTACCAAAGGAATGGGCGCAAAGTACATCCAGCGCTTGCATGTGGGGTACAGCACGTACAACGGCCACACGTACATGGAAATACGCAGACTGAATAGACGAGCATGGTAAGCATAGAAAAACTGTATCAGAGAGGAAACACTTACGCTCCAGGACTTAGGACCTTGAAAGCCAAAAAGACACCAATCACGACTTGGAGAGCGAAGAACAACCAGGCACGCTCAATGCTGATAGCACCTCTAGGGAGTGCCCGATTCTTCGTACGCTCCACGTTCGCGTCGATATCATAGTCGAGGATGTCGTCAATGGTCATGATCTGAGATCAAGGATGAGATAGCGAAGACGGCTTCGAACATCTAGACTCACCAAGCATTTGATCCCGATGCAAAGGAAAAAGTAGACGACGGCCCGGATAAGGCATTCCAGTCCCGTCAGCTGAGGGTAAGCGTGGTACACCATCGCTAAAGACCATGCTATCATTCCCGGTTAGCGAACGGAAACGGAAGTCCACAGACATCCACACTCACCCACTGGAAGAAACACCGTTGCACATCCCATCCCATTTTGGAGACGGCAGAGCTCCCAGCAAGCACCGATCTCAGTCCGAGTCGGTGGTGCGATGAGGGTTTTGACGTTCGAAGAGATCGAGGAGAAACCCAAAATGATCGTCTCCCTCGGACCCTTCTTGGAAATCAAGGAGGCGAAAGACTGCGAACAGATAGCAGTAGAGAGAGCCATTGGAGGAAGAGATAGTAGTAATGGTGGTAGAAGACTGTAGGATGCGGAGAACCTGATCTCCTCCCATTTTCACGCCCGTCCCTATATACCAGTCAGACGCTGGTGCATCCTCTCGTACGACCGTCGTAAACGAAACACTGGCAGCAGCGCAGGAACAAGGGGCAACGAATGAAATTTGATCGAGGACCGTCTGCATCTCAGATTGATGGTCGACGCCTGTGATCGACCGCGTAGTATTGGTCGATCTTGCTGATGTTTATCTCCATGCGGTTACATCCGCGTCCGACTCGCACGTTAGCGGTGATGCCCAATTGGGGAACCGCCTCATCATAGGAGCAAATCCTGGCCGCACGGACTGAACAGAAGCATCTGCGGATACATACTTCCTGCAGCATTCCTATCACATTGAACTGCATGCTGAAGAAGAATTTCGGGAAAGACGTATAGCACCCAACTCTCTTGTGCTAGCACTGTCGCGGTCATATGTTTACCTACACTCCATGACCAAGTTAGGGTAAGGATTGGCATAAATTGCTGATGATTTGTTTCCACTCACTGGATTGTTTCTTCTCCAAATATCCCGACTGTATGTTTTCACCTAATTACCTTTTGGGGGATTCCATACATAGACACCGGGGCATACAGTACCTCTGGCATTCGATAATTTTCAAGCAGAGAGCAACCTGCACTGCCACCCGACTCGGGGCCGTCGACTAATTGCGGTCCGAGTCAAGTTCGAGTCGGTAATCAAGGAATATATCCAGCTCTGCCTTCGCTTGCAGCCTTTTCATCATGTTGAAAAAAAAAAGATGAGGATCTTGGTTACGTAGGAGGACAGTGGCCTGAATGGTCGTTCATGATGGCCAAGTCATACTTAGAGCCCAGTCACCCTTGCGAAGTCATACTACAGCACCATCGTGTTCAAAGAGTCCTTCCGGATGGACTATGAGGTGGCGAGAAGATATCCCGGCCCGTTCTGCCTTGTGGCACTCGGGATCTGCGTGAGGGAGAAATGAAAGTCAAAAATCCCTATGGAGGTAATTTTGCAAATATATACCCATTTCAAAGCATTTTTAGAATCTTCCCCATTCGATTATTTGAGAATCGTGAAGAAATACGTGGGATCGGCGGCTTGAGTGAGACGGAGCATAGAAGAGAGAGGACCAGGAATAGTCATTCAGGAAGAGATCTGGCCTTTTATATAGTCACGTCCTGAGCATCGAAGAGAGGATGAACGCGATAGAGCGACTCGGATGCCTTCTCGCTTTCGGACCGCAGTTACTCAACGGCGCCGAGTCGGGTGGCAGTGCAGATTCAGGACACCCTCAGACGCGCTATGACTTGACTAAGAAAGGTTGTGTTGCTATCTGACCTAACAACATTGTTGCAATGCTGACAAGAGAAGCTATGAAAGAAAATATTCATCTCAATGAAAACTTTACGGATGGGAGGGCGATTGATACTTCAACGTTAATGTTTGGACATTTGCATAACGACGAACAAAAATTAGGGCTAACTGGTGACACTGGAAGCTGATAGAAGTAAGTAGACTTCGAAGGAAGTTGGAGAGAATGGTTATGTGGCTGTGCTCAGCTAGAACGAGGGGAACCAACAATTACAAATATACTGCTCCCTCTTTGAACTGCTATGGTCTTTCTCAGTTCTGGGTGCGCTTGTCAAATTACTATCCGAATGGCGATGAGATGGGAACTTTATGAAAAATAATCTTCCCTGTTGCTCAGAATTGGGATACTGCTTTCCTACAGTCCCTCTCACTAGCAAGCAACCAGTGCTTATACCCCTTCTGACTGTTGGAATCACACTGAAGTCGTTGGACCCTCGCTCAGGCAGCACTTGAAGACTTTGTCGTAGTTCACGGAGCAAATTGTACCAAAGAAAAAATTGGACGTTTCGGCATGTCTGTAACACCCGTGCCCAACAATACGAGCCCCCTCTTAGACAGTCCGGTAATTTCAAAGCGATATACATCTGTCTCCTACCACGAAACTGCCAGTTCCGGGGTTCTGCAGCACTATGGGAGCAATTGGTTTCGTGCACTTTGCGGCCAGGATTTGCTCCTATGATGAGGCGGTTCCCCAATTGGGCATCACCGCTAACGTGCGAGTCGGACGCGGATGTAACCGCATGGAGATAAACATCAGCAAGATCGACCAATACTACGCGGTCGATCACAGGCGTCGACCATCAATCTGAGATGCAGACGGTCCTCGATCAAATTTCATTCGTTGCCCCTTGTTCCTGCGCTGCTGCCAGTGTTTCGTTTACGACGGTCGTACGAGAGGATGCACCAGCGTCTGACTGGTATATAGGGACGGGCGTGAAAATGGGAGGAGATCAGGTTCTCCGCATCCTACAGTCTTCTACCACCATTACTACTATCTCTTCCTCCAATGGCTCTCTCTACTGCTATCTGTTCGCAGTCTTTCGCCTCCTTGATTTCCAAGAAGGGTCCGAGGGAGACGATCATTTTGGGTTTCTCCTCGATCTCTTCGAACGTCAAAACCCTCATCGCACCACCGACTCGGACTGAGATCGGTGCTTGCTGGGAGCTCTGCCGTCTCCAAAATGGGATGGGATGTGCAACGGTGTTTCTTCCAGTGGGTGAGTGTGGATGTCTGTGGACTTCCGTTTCCGTTCGCTAACCGGGAATGATAGCATGGTCTTTAGCGATGGTGTACCACGCTTACCCTCAGCTGACGGGACTGGAATGCCTTATCCGGGCCGTCGTCTACTTTTTCCTTTGCATCGGGATCAAATGCTTGGTGAGTCTAGATGTTCGAAGCCGTCTTCGCTATCTCATCCTTGATCTCAGATCATGACCATTGACGACATCCTCGACTATGATATCGACGCGAACGTGGAGCGCACGAAGAATCGGGCACTCCCTAGAGGTGCTATCAGCATTGAGCGTGCCTGGTTGTTCTTCGCTCTCCAAGTCGTGATTGGTGTCTTTTTGGCTTTCAAGGTCCTAAGTCCTGGAGCGTAAGTGTTTCCTCTCTGATACAGTTTTTCTATGCTCACCATACTCGTCTATTCAGTCTGCGTATTTCCATGTACGTGTGGCCGTTGTACGTGCTGTACCCCACATGCAAGCGCTGGATGTACTTTGCGCCCATTCCTTTGGTAAGTACCTTTGTGATTCATGCAGAAATCAGCGATCTGACGTTCCCTTAGGGCTTGATGTTCAACATCGGTATCTACATGGGCTGGGCAGACCTGGCGCCTGACGCCAAAATTTCCTACCACGCCCTCACTGCTGCATACCTCGGTGCGACGATGTGGACAATCACATACGAGACGGTGTATCAGCACCAGGACAAGGTGGATGATGTCAAGATTGGCATCAAGTCGCTCGCCATATTGTGCGGCAAATACACGATTTACATCTGCTCCGCCACCACTGTCGGCTTTGCAGTGTTGATGTCATTGGCTGGTGTCCTCAACGAGCAGGGGATTGCGTATTATGTTGCCGTGGCGCTTTCTAAATCCATTCTTCTGAAGGAACTCGTCGTGACGGATGTTGACAAGCCGAGGCAATGTATGAAGTTTTTCTTGCACACGCCGACGATTGGGAATCTGATACTTGCTGGATTGGTAGTTGATGCTGTTGTTCACCGGGTCATTGAAGGAATTCCTCTCTAGTGCACCACATTCGACTGTACTAGTAACTTAACAATATTTATTCGCTCCCAATATTTTCCTTTCACAACGCAGATCATCGCTTGCGGTGTGTCGTTGCCGAAGGGGAGATGCAAATCATATTCTAAAGGGAGCTGTGAATCGTGCTTGCCGACTCGGAAGATCTGTTATATTCTTTGCAGTATACCACGGACCGCAGATCCTGGGCGGCCCCGAGTCGCGTTCATTATAAATCAGTGTCTTAGATTGGTTGCTGCGTATCATCCTGGCATAAAATCATACATAGAATATGAATCATACTGTTGACTCAGGAGACATTTCCATGACTGCTATGCTGTCGCCTGATCAGAGTATGCTTTAATATTCATATATATATATCGACAGCAAGTCACTTTAAGTTGAAAAAAATCTTCGAAAAGACACAGGGCTTATTCTTTACTGATGACAAAGTGGAATCACACTGATACCAGGGCCTCTAGCCTGAAATGCAGCGCCAATCGAACGCCCAAGCGGGAATTTCTGATACATTATTCTAACGATGATAGAATTGTCGACGCTTGCTCTGAGGCTCAATCCGGGAGAAGACCTATGTGTGCACCAAATAGCGGGGGACCATTCGATCGATGTACACTATCAATTATGTATGTTCTCGAATGGCAACAAGGGCAATGTCATGTGAAAGGCAATTGTTTGCGGTGTTTTTGTTCAGCCTACACCTGCTCCTCGCAATGCTTCGTCAACAATCTACACCAAATGGTGGTTTTAGATATGGCGGTGGTGGACCTGTCACTGTCGCTTGGGATTCCATCATCGGCACTGGACGGAGGAAATGCAAGGAGGGTCATATGCAATGACAAGCTGTAAGCACTTAGCTGTAGCGAGAAGCGGACATATATGTCAGTACTTAGGGCCCAAGAGGCGAAAACGCAGTTCCATAATATGACCGAAGATTCTAATATACATTTTCAGGAATATCAACGGATAATGTAATGCGTCGACGGAGAGAAAGACTTCCGAGTCAGCTAAACGGAGACATGAGGCGTTGAAACTTAAACTGCGCGTCGCTCAACTGCAAACTGTTTTGGACAACCGGTCCATTATCCAGACTTGACTCTCGACCCTTGTGCAATAAGGTAACCTCTCCCATGCTGACTGGCGATAAGGGTATCGATAAGTCAGCAAATAAACATGAGAGGGCAGCTTCGGTTATGTTGCCTTACTAAGCAAGGCTAGCAAGTGTCGTATAATCACGACCACGTGTTCACAAAGTGTTACGCATTACGTGCGCTAGTGTGACAAATGGAAAGTGCTATCCTCCTTCGCTTCCTTCTACCGCCATGATTTGCATTGCATTGTGGAACTTCCAAAAACATGGTTATGTTGAGAGGTTCATCCAACGCCCATCGTGGCACCTTTCGGATTCCCTCTATTTATAGTCAAGTGTTTCACGATCGCCACCATATTTCATTTTTTTCGTCTCCTGTCGTACCACAGTCTTTTACAAACCATTCTGGTGAAGACTGAGATCATTGTTTACTAACAGATGAGAGCCGACTGCGGAAGTCGTCCTAGTAGACCCTGAAGTGACTCTGCTCAAGGCTAACCGACCCTGATCTAATACGGATATACTGTTGCTGGTTGATATGGAGAAAAGGTTATAGCGTCAGTATTCTTCATGTTCTTATTTAATGGATTTTGGAGCTATAATATGTCCAATCTCATACCAGATTACGCTATTAACTGATGTTCATACCAAAACGCAGGCGGCAACATGGCGAACATGGGCCTTCTCAACAAAACTGATGCTACATCGAACTAGGAACCAGCAGCAATTGTTCCCTTGGCTTCGTTTCTTCCGCGGGGCAACCGCGGGTTCATTGGTCCCGCACCATATCCAAAAGTCTAGGCCATCGTTTTAGTAGACATCGTGATCGATAACCACTCTAGAATTTATAACAGGTCACCGACGCTAAACTCTTCTTAGCTAAAGCTCCCTCTTGCACTCGGAACCAATCAAAGAAGATGGCATTGACATGAAGAAGTATACTCCCGATGAACTATAGGAGATGTGCCCTGTTAAGCACAATTCTTAAATGCGTAACTGGAGCCTCGAAGGAAAATGTGGGCCTGGCAAATTTCTGATTCTGTATGATACCTGCTGCCAATTATCGATAGGAGATAGTTCACCTCAGCTTAGAAGACGCACTACAACGACGACGGTTGACCACCTACACATCCTCTAACGATCCCATGACTCCTGGTTATTTTCAACGAACTCCCTCACTTGGACCCAATCCCTGCAAACGTGATCAACATGATTTCCGGATACTCCCATATCAGTTGAACCATCCGACAAAACGAGCACCTGGCCAGGCTCCAGCGTAATGTCTGCGGTACATTGTACTGTCTGCCTTAGAACGTCCAGGCAATACTCCGTCTCTTTGGAGTCGATGGAATTAATGTCGCGTGCCAGTGACTCGCCGTTGAAAACGTCTCGAAGTGTCACAAAGGCAACACGGACTGTATTCAAGCACCTCAGCTGCAGGTACAACGAGACATCATACTTGCTGCCGTCCAGCAGGATCTGACCGCCATGCGGAGGAGTCAGAGACGCCCATTCGTCGTCCGACGTGATACTGTAATTCCCGAACTGGAATCTCAACACGGCGTCGTTGATTCGTTCCGGCAGCTCGCTGATTTCTCCCCAGTATGTATGTAAATCTTCGACAAAATCAGATCTGAGGATATTACACAGGAACTTGACGATATCTCACCTACGATAGATGAGTATTCTGGGGTTTCGTGACGCGCATATAGCGTGCTGAGTATGTTGAGCGCTGTGCCGATTGAAAGCAAAGTGATGCCTAGCGTCAGGAACACAGAGCGCGTCATGGGACGAAGTATGTTGGGCGTAAGTAGGGTAACGGTTAGTCGCTTTATGAAATGGCTATAATGGAAGAATGCGGGGCGTGCATACGCTCCAAAGAATCACAAGGAAAAAGTTTGTTCAGCTCGAACGATCGTATAATTCATGTGGAGATCTTACCAACTCATCTAAGCGATACTATTGGTACGATGGAATGTTCACCTGTATCAGAAACGGCGTCAGCCGTAAACCGTCCGCTCCTACGGGCAGTTTCGAAGCTCCAGACCGTGTCAAATGCTACATGTATTCAATAGACGCAAGAAACAAAATCCCTGGGCGTTGCACTGGAACAGCTAGTGAGGGGAACTCGGAAAACACGAGATCACTTCGTGTTTAGATAGGCTGGGTCCGGATACAGATGCACCGGATTGCCGAATTAAAGGTGGAGATTTGGGGTTCGTTGAAGAGTAAGGGGCGCTCCCTCAGGGGAGGATTTATTTTCGTGCCATGAGAATAAATCATCAATTCCGGAAACGTTCAACGTATATAAACCACTGACTTGCACTTTAGAACAGCATCTCTCCCTTCTCACTATCAGAATGAAGTTTGTATTCGCCTTCTTATTAGTAGTGCTCGGCGCATCTGCGTCCACGCAAGCATTATCCGTTGATACCGGTGATTTACCTTGACTATGTTTGCTCTCTGTTTTACTGACTGCGCTCGCAGACGGTCAAGCCCGTAAGGCGTTCCTTACTTCAAGATGCGCCAAGCTGACTTAAATCCAGTTTCTCGGCGTTGGTTCCGGGCTGCAGAGGCAGAGCCCGCGAAAGAAGAAGTCAAAAGATCGGACTGACATACACCGGTAAGCGAAGTAGGTAAAATGTGAAAATCAACGTACTGAAAAAAATTTCCGGAGCAGCTGCGAGGGTGTAGAGACGCGTTCTTTTACCGCGGAAGGATCATTTAAATATCCAATAATATGCAAATGCCAATATGATGTTTATGGAAAGAAATAAGAGAGCGAAAAAAGGTCGAACTGGAAAGATACGGAAGCTTCTGAAGATATTAATCATGGGAAGGCGTGCTCTTCAGAGAATCATTTTTTAACGGCGGCCAACCACGACTAGGACAGATCGACGAAAAAGAGAAAGCAAGACTGACATAAGACAGCAGAATTTCCTAGGCTCCGTACTGCGGTTGGTCACGATGGCGTAGGCTGCTTTGCCAGTCTGAGTACATGCATTCTATAGACATCTGAAAAATGCAAAGCGTTGAGGATCGGACATAACAAATGAACAACGCGTGCCGCGTGCACTATGGAAAACTGACATGAAATAGAGATGTAGCGGAATGAACTACGCTCCTAGCACGAAGGCAAAGAAACTGGAAATCACCAAAAGATTTACGGACAGAATAGGTTAAAGGCCTGGCAGCTTTGCATCTGTCTAAAGTTATTCTTTCTTCTCTCGCCGCTTTCAAGGAGGTACAGTCTGAGTCGAACGTTATCGCACGAGAAGACCGCTAGCATCCACCTAACTATGATATGATGAAGATGAGAATCTCGGGTTTTAGACTCCAATGGAGGAGGAAAAAAACATACTGGTCAATTCAAATTGCTTGATGTGGAGACTCCGCGGGTCGAGGACTCGTATTCAGCTAGAAGTTATAGCGTGCAATCTCATTGTGATGATGTGTTAGTCTGGGACGGTATGGCGCAAAGATCTTTGCATCTACCTATGCATCACTAATGGAATGGTGATAATGGAATGAAGTTAACATTAATCAAGCTCAGAGGTCCGAGTATGACTCACATCTAGAAGAAAGAAAGTTTGCCACATGTCGTTAAACAAAATTGACGAAGGCATACCAGGAAATAGGGGCCCAGGGGGGGAACCAACATTAGCCGTTGCTCGCCGTGGACAATGATGGACATAGCAGGTCATCCATCCGCTCCAGCTGAGGGTTGGTACGTATGTTGGATCTGTGGAAAGGCTCAGCTGGGTGAGTTGCTGGGTAAAAGATACCTACAAAGTGTTGATGGTGAGGTCGCTCTAGGCCAGTGCACTTCCAACGACTAACCGGCCAAACTATTACCGAGGATGATAGAAGAGAACTGCTGGGCGCCGCAGATGATGATGGGAGGAAGCTTCGAGGAAAGGTCGAGTAGTACAAGCAAGCCTTTATGGATTTCGGAACTGTGTAAGCCAAGGTTTGAAATATTGGGTTCATTGGGCTCGCTGGGTGCCTAGCTAAAAGAAGGAGCGTTAACCCTGCGCAGGGAAAAAAAGGCGTACGCATACCAACTGCCGCCTGCTTGTTCAAGAGTCGCACTGACATTCAATACACAGCATGTTCCTACACCGCGGTTGTTTCGTCGCGTCATACTATGCTCGTCGACCATCGTGGAAGCGCAAAGGTCATCATCAAAGGAGAGGCTGGTTGAAATGGCCTAAACTCGAACGATTACTCTTAGCAACGAAAGCAGTCCCTGACATCACAAGAACGTACATGTGCCTTATGGTACAGCACTGACACTGGCAAACGTTATGCCCTTGCTCATCGTCCGTATTCTTGTTGCGTTGGTGTTGAACGCGAGTCTCGGCCTTGATGGAGCCATGGCACCACCTTGACGACGCCGTGCCCTTGCTCACCAGATACATAGTGTCAAGGTTTCCTCATCACAGCGTGCGCAGCCTGCCTCTTGACAATGGATCCATCGTATTTCACTCCGTCGTCTTGGCGGATGGGATAGTGGACGAGAGCCGAAGATAGCCGGTGTGGGAAAGTGCACTTTCCGACTGTCTGCCACATCTCGGACGCAGGGGATGCGATGGTCGTGGAGCTCAGGGAGAATGGATATTAATCCGGGTTCAGAACGTTCGAGTTCCAGTGCGTGCCAGGCCAACATTTACCATACAAACTTTGGTCACTAACTTTTGGATGTAGGCCATACCTAATCAGCATTGTTGGTATCCTTTGTGAATTTCTTGCCCAGGCAATTATGGGATATTTTTGGTGGAAACGTGATGCTCATTCAGGTTCTCAGATATTCGTAATAATGGAACGGCAGGTAGAGGAACAACGACTATATATGCCAAGGTGACCTTCACAGTTGTCCTCATTTGGCGTACTCTTATCATTCGCTTCTTTTCTCAGTTTATATTTATTACGATCCTCTAAAATATCTTTCGTGCGTACTCACTGATGTGCTCTCATTGCGCTTTTTCTTATCCTTGTCATTTAGGTATATGCTTAGGTTTTGTATGCTGGTGAAATGCGATACTTTCTGTGCGACTATTCTACTTGCGGTGACAAGTCTTGTTTCACCGAAAGTGAGCAATAGAAGTGGAATAGGAGAGTTGGTGCTCCATACTGTTTAAGACTGGGTCCGACCCCTTTTCTTTCTTCTCTGCAACCATGATTGACAACGAGTGTGTTGGGTCAGGACAGTCTTCAGGAGACAGCCATAAAGCCAAACTTTCATTTTCTTCCGTGACACCGGTAGATGTGCAAGTTCGGAACCTTTCTGTGCAGGTCGAGAGCAGCACCCGTCAATGGAAAGATCGCTTTCCTAGCTTCAGGAAATCTACTTCAGATCTGGAGACTCCCCAGACTAAATGTCTTCTTACCCATATCGACGCTGATTTCCCTCATGGTACTCTGACGGGCATCCTTGGAAGTAGAGGTAGTGGAAAGGTATGCAAAATAGTATTAATTTCAGATTGTCCTCTGATACACCCCTTTAGACAACACTGCTCAATGTTCTGTCTGAACGCATGTATGATAGCAACCTCTCTGTTCAAGGAGAGCGGTTGCATAACAATTCAACATCCCTATCTAGCATTTCACATGCCTATGTCGGTCAGACAGACTCCCTTCTTCCCACTGTCACTGTGCATGAAACTCTCACATTCGCTGCAAGCTTACTTCTTCCCACTTCCATTAGTCGCATCCAGCGTGCAAAACTCGTTGACAATATCATTGTAGAGCTTGGACTCAAGGACTGTTCGAACTCATGTGTCGGAGATGGTGTCCGCCACATGGGGTGTTCTAGTGGAGGTCTGAGACTCATCAGTCTGGGCATCGAGTTGCTGAGAAACCCCTCTGTACTGTTTCTGGAAGAGCCGACGACAGGTCTTGACCCAACAAGTGCGTTTCACATTGTGACGAAGCTGAAGAGTCTCACACAGAAGGGCGTAACAGTCATTATGACGTTGCATCAGCCTCGTTCTGATGTGTTTCGTATGCTTGATAGGGTGATACTACTTTCCCAAGGGCATTCACTTTATGCTGGTGTGGCCTCAGAGGCCGTTCCATGGTTCGAACGACTTGTCCGCCCATTAGAACTACACCGCAATCCTGCAGATTATCTGATCGATATTGGTGCCATCAATGTCTGCATGGGTGCAGCTGAGGAGACCGCTCCAAGTCGCATCAGCAGGCTCATCGCAGCATGGAAATCAGAGTCAGCTATCCGATTCCCCCCACTCAAGAGCAAATTGACAATCAGCCCTGTTGATCCACATGATGTGATCAAGGCAGCCTGTTGGTCATGTCATACATGGACTTACCCTGATATCCCAGAAGCTGAAGGCAAGCAATCATGATTCATTTGGTCTTGGCTCAGGTTTATGTGTTCATGATTGTGGGGTTATTCATTGGAGTAGTGTTTTATCAAATTTCTGACTTGTTGTCAGGAATCAAGAAGCATTAGGGTGTGCTGTATATCTCAGTGGGACTGCAGGAGTACCTGGTGATGATGTACGAGGTGTGTCATCTGATCATGATAGATCTTCCTGTCGTCGATGGGGAGCACAGTGACAGTATCGTCGGCATTGTCCCATGGGTCATAAGTGTTGGGAAACAAGCCGGTGACTCGGTCATGGATATGATCTGGGCCTTTTAGCCATCGCCACATCGACGCGTACTTATGTGTCTGTTCCCATAGTTTCTCTTTCCTCTTCTTACGGACTATTTTAGTTTACTCTTAGAATATACTATAACACTTAGAGAGGTATAAGAGCCTCGCATTTGTACCATAGTTTTCACAGAATATCCATTTTGCTTCTACTCTTCCAACTACCAGCTGCTAACAATAAGCTGCTGTTATTAAGCTGGCCTCTTGGTAATTCTTAGCGCTCATCGATTATTCCTGATGGCGATCCTCGTTGTTATATTGTAGATCAGTATTGGTTTCTTCTCACTGATTGGACATGATCACGCGAGTATCCAATCTCGTGTTGGTTGTATCCAGAAAGACGCTTTCGCGCGAGTCGTCGAGTGTACCCTTTTTCCTGTGATCTAATGAGGTCGGAATAGCGTTCTTCATTGGCATCCTGCAGACCGTCGCGGTCATTCTGATAGAACGCGATTTCTTCTATAGGGTGAGCATGCTTACTGTTTTCTTAGCATTCATTAGTCTCACTTCCCATAGGAATATGACAATGGAGTTTACTCTATCGAAGCATTCTTAACCTCATATGTATTCTTGGCACTCCCTTTCGAGATTGTCCCTGCATTGATCTATTCTCTCTTTGTTTCAGTCTCTGCCAATCTTGGGAGGACAGTCCAGATATACTTCACCACTACCTTGAATGGGCTATGTATCACCAATGCTGGAGTCTCTTGGTATAATCATGAATACCTTCATGACCCAGGACACCGATCTGGCCCTGAACATCATGAATATTTTCATGTCTATCACGATGTATATGGCAGGTAAGATACATTTGCCTTCGTTTTAACTGTTGCTTATCGTTCGTTATAACTCAGGTCTTATGATCTTGAACTGCCAGAGTTTCTGAAGGCTTTGAATAAGTTGAATCCCCTTGTTTACTCCGTTCGGAATATGATGCCTTACGTGCTCCGCGACCAGACGTTCTCTTGGGGGGGACGATCAAAAACTCACAGACAGATCATGCGCAACCAGTACAGGCGAACAAGTACTGAAAATCTTCAATTTAGAGAACGTCAACGCCCGCCCCTCTGAACCTTTTCACGGTCGTAATCAGTACCGTTGTCTACCGCCTTCTTGCTTACCCGGTATTGAAGCTGATAGGGAGCCTTGCATTACTCGATAGTGCTATCTTCTTTCCTTTTGATACAAGTCCCATTAACTTCTCCAGACATGGAATGACCTGTATGTGCGTCGCGGATTTATCACTGTACCGCCGCTCGATCTCTGCATGAGAAGGTACTTGTTGTATTTGATATTATATCGAGTAGGAGTAGTGTACACCGCTACATATCGCTTTACATATCCATTTGATCCCTAAGACACCCTCAAATCCATGCAATATTCTTGGCTGACAGCGGGGCGTTGTGATCTACAGTCTCACCTGGTCTATGCCTCTGTTGCAATGGATTTCCCTGCCTTTTAACAGGTGCAAATCAGTCACCCTGCCCCTGCATCATGTATTCGCATCATCAAACTTTCCCTCCTCCTGATCTCTCCGGAACGTCCGTTTCGCGTGCCTGAGCAAATGCACCATCGACGACGGCGTCATACCTTCCATCCTCTTCGCTGCTCCCTGCACCCACCACAAATCAGACTCCGCATCACAGAAATCTCGAACACAACTCACGATGGTCGTCGGCCGAACCTTGAAGAGTCGCTCCCGAATCTCCGAACTCAATCCTTTCACAGTAAGATAGTCCATCATAGGATCAAGCATAAGACTCTCGTCTACCATAAAGTCGCGTAAATCGGCTTGTTGCCTGGCCAGAAAAGGCTGGTATCGGCCTGTACATCTGCATGTCAATGCCGTTTTGCAGTAGGACTCTCAGCCACCATACCCTCGGTGTCAATGCGCGCCAGCAGTCTCGGATCGGTATTGGCCAAAAGCGGGATGTCCTTGATGAATTCCGCAGACGATATCGTTTGGTATCGCAGCAAATCAAAGGCGCTGGAGAGGGAGAAGCATAAGAAACTTCCAAGTCATACCACACGCAGCTCACCTTCTCATTTTTCCGTCCGATGGAACGGTATATCCTCGAGACTTCCAGTTCTGGCGGATATAAAATGTGAAATGGGTCTGCACCAAAAAGCTATTGGCCTACCTGTGTACTGAGTACACAACCTTTCAAGACGTCGATGATCTGGTTGTATGTCTGTAGCATCTGACTGAAAGACCGCCAACGTTCTTCTGATACCGCGCCAACATGGTATGCTTTGTAGACGAAATCAATCAAATCCCAGCATCAAGATACAAACGAAGTCAAACCTTTGGCTGTTAACCGCATATCGGAGTTTTCAGGCCGCAGCGTCATTCGATATTCCGACCGCGAGGTTAACATCCGGTCTGTAAGTATGATTAATAGGCCCAACGGTGTAGTTGAAGACCCTTACATGGCTCGTCCGCTCCTTTGACTATGAGATCATCGATGAGGACTCCGATGAAGCTCTCTGCCCTTGTAAGGATGAACGGTGGACGCTGCAGCGCCGCTAATCCCGCGTTGATGCCTGCAACAATACCTTGAGCTGCGGCTTCTTCGTAGCCTGTGGTACCTGATGCAGACATTAATAAATGAGAAATATAGTCAGGGCCTTTGGAAATACCATTAATCTGTCCGGCGAGGAAAAGGCCCTATGATGGCGTCAGAACCACATTGCATATAACTGAGAAAGGAGGATACGCTACCTTGATACGCTTCGTCTCCAGTGTTGCTGATAAAGTGAGTTAGCTGGAATGACAAGCACAGAATTGTACGCTCACGTAAGAGTTCCCGAGGATCCACATAGTCGTATTCCACACCATATGCGGGTCTGACCATTTTAACATTCTCCAGACCCTCAATGGTTCGCATCATCGGCTCCTGGACTTCCTCTGGAAGGCTACAGGAGATCCCATTGGGATATATTACATCTACTGGACGTCAGGCGGCCCGGAGACGAACACGCAACAAAGTACACACCAGAGTCATAACCCTCAGGCTCTAGCCAGACAGTATGGGAATCGCGATCGAATCGCAAGATTTTCGCCTCCAGTGACGGACAATATCGGGGTCCTTTCTTCGTTTCCTGTATATGAACGCTGCGGTGCATATTGTCCTTGACTATCTGATGTGTAGATGGATTGGTCCTGGTCATATAACAAGGCACTTGATTGCTCTACAATCATGAGATTCAATTTAGAATACCAACCTTTAGAACTCACTGCATTTGGTACAACATCGTTGAGAAAGCTGAAAGGAGCTGGGACTTCATCACCGTCCTGACGGTCGAGTGTCGTAAAGTCTACTGTTTTTCCGTCAAGGCGAGCCGGCGTCCCTGTCTGTAGGCGTCCGAGTCTGAATCCAGCTGCCCGAAGCGAACCGGACAGGCCTGGGGCGGGGTCTTCGTTGATTCTTCCAGCAGGAAACGTCTTCGGACCTGCGATAACGTTAATTTTAGAGACGTAAAAGCGATACGGCAGGTACCGATGTGGATTTCTCCACCAAGGAAGGTTCCGGTGCAAACGACGACTTGGGTACAAGGTATGATCTCCCCAGTGTCTGAATGGAGTGTCAGGGTCTGTGTCAGCAAAGAAAATAGAGGCTGCGACGCACCAAGTCTAACACCCTGAATCCGCCCCCATGTAGCATCAGGATTGTTCTCGTGGTCGAATACAAGGTCAAAAACATCCGCAGCGCGGATATGTAGGTTTTCTTGATGTTTGGCGAGCTCCCTCTTCATATGGCGCTTGTACAGCTTGCGGTCAATTTGGGCCCTTGGTCCCTGGAGATGAATTGTTACTCAAATGGCTTAAACATCGGCTATCACGTACCCAAACGGCCGACCCCTTCGTCGCGTTAAGCATCCGAAACATTATGCCAGACATATCTGTTTTTTTAGATCAGCTTGTATACAGCAATAGGGATAACGACCACGCACCGGCGACACGACCCATCAACCCGTCCATCGCGTCGACTTCACGAACCAGTGTGCCTTTGCCAACACCTCCAATAGACGGATTGCAGGAAAGTTCACCGATGTTTTCCAAATTCTTCGTCAACAAAAGCGTTTTTGCACCTGAGCGACACGCCGCTGCCGCTGCCTCGCATCCCGCATGTCCAGCACCGATAACACAGACTTGAAACAAGCGGAGGTCAAGAAAAAGCTGACTACTGTGCGAGGAACTTCACCTTGGTAGGGCTCGGAAACATGGTCGACGACAGAAGAGAAATGTCTATGCAGGCGCAAGCGAGTCCATGGTCTGCGAATTAAATGGTTGAGCATTCCAAACTGCAGGCCTCGTCGTGGGTGAAGAGAGAGAAATTCAGATTTAATATTTGAATAATTTGAAGTTTGAAATTCGAAGTAAAATATTACCAAAATTATTCTCCTTGTTTGTCCTAACTCCTCTACTTGAAGTCCTGCTGATGCATTTACCTCTTTTCTCTCGGCTATAGCGGCGTTGCACTCGCATCATACCAGTACTGCTGTATGTTCTGGCTCTCTAGCGGGTTTGGTCTTGTGATGTACGAAATTGGCCCAACTTCTTACTGGCAGGCTCGTAGTGAAAGAATTTGGCAAACGCGACTGAATGTATCGGATGGCGCTGCCTCTACCTGAGGCAGTCGATACATTGGATACTTTGTCGAATGACAGAAAGTTCGCATCCCTGCTTCCCACCGTTTCATTCAGTCATCGTCATTGAGGACGAGTGGACCAAGAGATTCCTTGTGCAGATTTGAGCTCACCCTGAGAGGTTGAAGTTCGATATAGATATAAATACAGTTTCTACGATCCCTGTCGTGCTAAGATAATGCATGCGAAAGATCCCAACATAAAGGCAAAACGTCGTCAAATTGATTACTGCCGTCGTTCTATCTTGAACATAGTCTCTACCAGCTTCAGTACGGCGTAAACAAGGAAGCGATACACAATAGTCGTAATCATGATGGCGCCGAGGTTCAGAGGGGCGTTGACGTCCTTCAGTTTAAAGATCTCGAGCACTTGTTCGCCTGTGCTGATTGTGCATGATCCGTCTACAAGCCTTTGATCATCCCCGCATGACAACGCGTAAGGCACCATGTTCCGAACAGAGTGACCAAGGGGAGAGAGCTTATTGAGCGCTTTCAGAAAGGCCGGCATGTCCAAACCTATAAAACCTAACATAATATGAACAATGAGCGTCGACTGACAGACATTAGTACGTTGGTGATGTTCAGAGCTAGTCCAGTGTCCCAGACCATCAAGGTATTCAGGACTATGCCGAGAGCTGCAGGATTACCTCGTGATGATGTACGAGGTGTATCGTCTGACCACGATAGCTTCCCATTTTCGACAGAGAGCTTGCATCTTTATTTCCGATATCGAATCAGGGATGTAGTAGAACGTTATGCCAACGAACAACCCCATAAGCACAGCCTCCACCCAAACTGAGGCCATGCCAAAAGGATCGTGGATGCTTGTTTTCAGTTCCCGAGAGATCAGGGTCTAAGAAAGTGATGTGCGTTTGTAGTACCTAATAGAGTACACTGTTAGCTATAGTGTAGACCTCACACAGCATAGTGATAAGCAGAAATGCGGTGAGGGTGCTCGACGGACTGTATTCAATATATATTGTCCATCCCGACATAAAGGGGTATCGAGCTCAGCCGGCGGGATACGACAGAGCTCCTGTTTGCTAATCTAAGACAGGGTGAGTATGACATGGTCAATGGGTGCCTTGACTACATCATGTTGGTTGACATGGCTGATTGCCAATTCGCCCTTGAGTGGGGGGAATCGGACAGCCAACACCAATTTCCGTGCTGCGATGAGCCTGCTGACATGACTCCGAGTGGTCTCCTCAGCTGCACCCATGCAGATGTTGATGGCACCAACATCAATCAGATAATCTGCAGGATTGCGGTGTAGTTCTAATGGGCGGACGAGTCGTTCAAAACATGGAACGGCCTCCGAGGCCACACCAGCGTAAAATGAATGACCTTGGGAGAGTAGTATCATTGATAATATAATATATGGGTGTTGTAGGTGGTATCCAACCTTAGCTTAGCTGGAAGAGCATGAGACTGTAATTGGATGTCTTTATTAACCTATCTCGAGGCCGTGCGTTTGACCCGCACAGGTTGGATCCCTTTGAGAACCTTCAACTTTGGTCGTTCTAATTTGGAGAATCGAGAGTTCTCTCTTTTCCTGAAGGAGGGAAGGGTTGTTCGTAAAACGTGAAGGGAGACTCTTTTACAGACCCTCCCAAGGGTGTTATTTAACATTTTGATACATTACTTTCCTATCATGTATAGATTCACAAGACTGGCTCACAGAATTGCAAACTCTTCTTTTGTTTTGATTTTTACATGTCTTCTTTGTGTCAGGAGCAAGTCATCAGCAATGGTTGGATACCTATCAGGGTACTTTGTAAATGAAATATATATGCAGCCGTATGAATTTTTATGCTTAACTAGCAGCTTGCCAGGTTCTGCAGTGAAGATGAGATGACAGGTTTAACAAAAGTGGATGGAAAATGTCACCAAAACTCCAGCCAACGAGTGGATCCCAACTTCGTAAATATGAGAGGAGATATTCTCTGGTGCGAATTCGATCTCCTGTTGGTACTTGTCCAAAAATCGTTTCAAGTCAGTGTTGACATGCTCGACAAGCGACTTTTCGAAATCGGTTACGCATGTCGCGGTCAGGTCAGGTCAAAGGTCAGCACTGTGTCTGCGTGCAAGTTTATTGTGTATCTCAGTGTTTGCAACATAAAAGTCTCCGATCAACGTAGATGATAATGCAGAGCGAGATGCGGGAGAGTTGCGATGTTTGACGTCGTAGAAAAATTCTGCCATGGCCAGGAATGAAGTTTTCTCAAAGACTGCGGGACGGCGGACAAGAACAAGCCTGGGGTCAAAAGTCGCGAGGCTACATAATTCTGTAAGACAGGATGTTTTGTCAATCCATACGACACCAGGAGACGACAAAATGTCCTGATATCCAGTGAGAGAGCATGACGGTAAGGTCTATGTCATCGGTCAGTATATCTGACATGGCGACGATACGTATACGTACAGATTGACTGCAATCAGTCCTAAAAACGCCTTGACTGATTTTGATGGGATTGGAGGTACAACAACTACCCTCGGAGTGTGATGGCGAGGGAGCTATGCAGAGGGTAAGGTAAGATACTTACTAAGAAGGGTATCTCGAGCTGAACCTTCGAACCCTGCACGATGAGTTAGAAGGATAACGCACGAACCCCCAATGGACGCACCGTCCGAGTCCTCGCATCGAAAAACCATGCCACAGTGGTACACCCCTCTGGACGCGATTCAGCCACCCTCTCGTCCATAGCAGCGCGCCCGCTACCTGCAGGAGGTGTTTCAGATCTTGCTACTGGTGAGTAGCCCGCTTCCCCAGTAAGAACCCACGCATGGTCGCTCGATGGCAGCTAACAAAAGCATTCATCGTTATGGGCGTCCTTGGCAGCTTCGAACAGATCATAAAACGTGCTTCCATGACAGAGGACACTGCATGGGGCCCATAAATCGCAAGGGAGGACGCATTCGACGTCGAGCGACATGGTGGTTGGCGTGTAAAACTGTTAAGGCATTTACTCGATCACATGATAACGTGTTCCTAGTTCTGACTTTGTATTAGACTCAAACTGAGTTTAGCTTGTGTTGGAAATCCTCGGTGTTGTGCAGGGTAGGCTCCAGGCTGGTAAGGCCAGATAGAATGAACTTGTTATTCCACAGCTCCTACAGAGCTTGTATTTATACTCCCCAGGCTTATATCTAGAATTTACTACAACTTTCTCTTTCTCTCGAGCTTGCTCATCAACTCTCAGCATGATGCCGGATTGCCCTTTCTAGAACTTTCTGGCAAAATCCCAACAGCTTGACTGTCCACAAGTCCAAGGCCTGAGTTAATTACAGAATAACATATACTATGTCTCTTTACAAACATAATCTACAGGCCAGTAGGAGAAGAAGGGATTTGAATTGTTAAATTCCCAAGAGGGATAAGGAAATGAGACACCACTGGATGGGATTCCTCGTCAAAGATATCTGACACTTTTTCATCTATTTTTACGTGCCGAGATGCTAATAGATGGGGAATAGCAAGCAGGCAGCACCATCGGTCCCAACACACGCATAATCGCAGAAACAGGGCTTGCAATGATACTGAGCGTCGTGGCTTTTCCTGGCAGCGAGATGTAAATCGGAGAAGGTATGACCATAGTACAGAGCTCTGAATATGTGGGACATATTACATGGTAGCATACAGCGGACTCGGACTGACATCACGCTAATGGTTAGCGGCAAACCGTTGGCGATGACCCCTGCTGTTCCAACTGAGTAAAAAGTACAAAAATGCTATCACTGTGAACACGGCGGAACGTGCCTGACAAAGCACTGCTCCACCGACAAACAAGGAGATAATGACGTTTATGTGGAAGCTCAGCTGTAAATAATAAATCCACAGTTCGCCGCAGTTTCAGTGAGCTGTGGGAGAATTCGGAGCTTGGCTTCCATTAATTCGAAACGCTTCCATAATGTACAATTATGGGAATACAATGTCAATAATATGAACCTAAACCGAGTGAAGTCCTATAGAATAAGTTATACATAAATATGCATGGCCATCGTTCAAATACTTACGTCGCTGTTCGTAAAGGATAGAAGTAAGAGTCCATGAAACGTTACAAAGCGGTTAGAGAATTCTTCCTCACCCGTAAAGGAGAAGTCGATACGTTAAATGTGTAATTAGCATCCGGCGACGGCGGCGACGACGTCTCCATTACTGTGTCCATCCGAGCTTGTGTCCTCTTCTCCCACCGTCTCCGTGTCCGCTCCAAGCGGGGGTAATACATGGACATAGACGTCGTCTCCTCCTCCTCATCCGACGATGTAGCGATAGACTTGATAGAATCTGCCCTCTCGATACGCGACACTCTGCTCCCATAGCGGTCTAGGTCTGCCCCTTTGGTCCGTTTTACCCGACCTTTCACCAAACTGGCTATGACTTTTGTCGACATCCTGTGCAATTCGTCCTTCTGTTCCTCCCCCCGCGCGCGTTTCAAGACGTGATCCGGAATCTGGGGCAGAGCGCGCAGACCTGAGCTAGATCGGAAAGCGAAGGGAATAGGTGGGACGGGCGGTGGTACTTCATACACTGATAGCATGGTGTGTCTGCGCGTTGAAGCGCTCGCTTGGGAGTACAGAGATTCGGATGAGACAGATGAAGAAGAAGACATGGGCGGTGACTCGATGGGCGTCTCCATCTTTGCAATCGGACGTGTAAGAAGGTATCGGGATGCTGGAATGGCAGGACTATCTTTTCCGGGAATAATGAGTTGAGGAAGACTTTTGGGACCGGGTACGGGGGGCGGTGTCGCTGGAGGAGACGTCTGTGGAGATGTATGCCTTGAACCGAACGAACTCTGCAGGTAAGGCGTCGATGACTCTTCCATCAACGATGAAGACAGGATCTGCTCTCCGAATTTATCACTGAATGTAGGTGTGGGGAGTCGGTCGAATTCGATATGATATGCTTCCTCTGGCGCGGCGTTGGGGTAATGGATGCCAGAAGGTACCCAGGTGTGGCTGGAGTCGACTTTTGTGTGAAAAGGTTCAGGCGACAGCAAGGGACGCGAGTCCACGGCCTTGGTCTCAGATCGAGACGGAGGCTCAGGCTCAAGCAGTCGGCCAATGTCTGACACGCGACTGAGCTTTGGATTGTAGACAACGTTGGGAGAGGAGGGTGGAGGGTTACGACGACGACGACGGTACCGCTTGAAGAACCACGCCACAAAGGCTATGAACAGCAGAAGCACCACAGCACCCAATACGACCCCAACGACAACCTGAGCACTCGTCCCCGAATTTGATGAACTTGAAGTTGCGCTTGAGTCGCGCTTCATGAGAGGGACTGAAGGCATGGCGGAGATGGAAGTGGAGGGAAGGAGCGAAATGTAAAATATGGAACTTGGCAAGTCGCGAATAAATATGCTGCGGGAGAAGGAGTGAACACATAAGACACTGCCATCCATCCGTCAAAACCCCGTGCCTGCACAGCTTTTGGAAGGAGTTGCCCATATTTGTCCCGGTGAAGCGGTACGAGATCGCCGGTGTTTTTGGTAATACTGGACAACAGCGCAGGTTGTGGGTTCGTTACGACTCCCCACGTTTGACCATAACTGAAGGCAATCGAAACTTTCAGTGCTGAATATTTGAATCCAGGCCCGGGGTCGTGACGGACTGAGAAAATGATAGCGTCGAGAACCGTGTAGTGATTAACAGGACATTGAAGCCTTGTTTCAACGCGCTGCGTTTGATATGCTCGGCCGCGCATACAGGACACACGATACAAATTCAGAAGAATATCAGCTCGCGCGGAACTATTTCCGAACGTGTATCGTCATCATCGTAATCGACCAGGACACGAGGCCTGCGGCGGTGGGGCATTAGGGCAGTATTCCACCCTTGAATAAAGTAGCACACACCGAGTGCAAGATCGTACTGCATCGCAATTATCGCATAACGGATGCCGAGGTGGGACTGATACGGTTTCCTATATTCACTCTAGCACCATTTCAGCTCCACGACTCGATACGAAAAACCGAAATCGGTGATGCTTCCTTTGAATTAGGTTTGTCCAAGGATGCTATTTCCGTTTTCCAATTCAGGTTACCCCGAGGCCAAGTGCATGATCGTCGTTGTTAGGCTCTGTACTCGTACCACTTGTTTCGAGATGTCCCTTTCCACGAGGTCTGTGCCTAGGTGTTTCGTCGTTATCAGGTAAAAACTCTTGATAAAGAGTGAGAACCAATACCTCAAACGGTACGTAAAAAACGAGGGAAACATTGATGTCGGACTAGGCTGTGCGGTCAAATTTGTGCATGTTGGTCAAGAGCCACACGAAGAGAGGGAAATATATACCAACTCACTTTAAAATAAAAGGTGCTAAAGTTCCTTTCATCTGGATGCGATGCCTCTGAAGCATTCTTACCATCTCTTTTCCTCCATATAATAAGTCATGGCAACTAGGCCGGCAGCATCAGTCAGTTGAAATGGTATCTGCTACCAAATTAGTTGCCGACTACTCAGCTTATCTCGCGCAAGTCGCTGATACTATGTACAAATTTAACTGCAGTTTTGAACACCAAAACAGCTCCGAAATGACTTTGGCGCAGTCATCTGTAGGCAAAACCAGCATCCCCCTTGCCATCAACGAACAATGCCTCTATGTTTCTTGCAGTACAGCTAGAATAGAAGGTTAAGCCGCGGGAAAGCGGATGATGTAGAAGCCACTTACCATTGAGATAAGGCATCTTGGTAAGTCACCTAATTGAGCAGGCTCGTCCTCAAGGATTTCGTCAACTTGAGGTGAGCGCTTGTTTATAGCTCATTTGGGATCAGATATTCTTCTATAGGTGCCATGCAATATGTCCAACCTTGGCTCGCTGGAATAGTGTAAGAATGTAATGGGATGACCTAATCAATGTATCTCGAGGCCGTGCGTTCGACCCGTACACGTCGGATGTATTTGAGGTTCTTCAATTTTGTTCGTTCTTCTAACTTCAGAGTCGAGAGTTCCCTCCTTCAGGGAAGGGTTGTTCGTAAAACGTGAAGGGAGACTCTTTTACAGACCCTCCCAAGGGTGTTATTTAACATTTTGATACATTACTTTCCTATCATGTATAGATTCACAAGACTGGCTCACAGAATTGCAAACACTTCCTTTGTTTTGATTTCTACATGTCTTCTTTGTGTCAGGAGCAAGTCATCAGCAAATGTTGGATACCTATCAGTGTTACCTCGATGAAAATCCCTCCGGCGAACGCCTAGGTTTCATGTGCTACCCTATTTTAGGGCTCCATATGATGCCTCCAGGGTCTGTAATTTACTTTTTTTACAGACCATCCTTGAAACCTCATGGAGTTAGAATTGAACTGCTTTGCAGCTTCCACTTCACAATATCTCCTCCCCTTCCAGAGGTCTTTCTGACAAACATCAAAAACATATACAGTCAATAGCATCCATGATACAATAGTAGTGATCAGAGTCGCGATTTTCTGGTCAATTTTGATCCCTGATTTTTGGCCAAGATCGACAGATGAAAAACACTTCTTGGAGGTGTTTCGCGAATCCTCATGATGTTTGATGTCGATCCTCTTAGACGATTTTTACTCAATTCTCCACAAAATTGAGAGGATGACATAAGAAATCCTGTCTAGAAACCATCAAAAATCCCTCACCGGTTGTGACGGTCAAAAGTGCATCATTTTTCCAGGTCGATTAAAAGAAAAAAAACAGGTATAGAAGCGATGTAAAAGTCCCGCTTCCCCTGTAAGAACCCACACACGCATGATCGCTCAATGGCAGCTGACAAAAGCACTCATTGTCATGGACGTCCTTGGCAGCTTCGAACAGATCATAAAACGTGCTTCCACATAGAGGATCCTGCGGTGACGGAAGAAAAGGGAAACGCACCCATTACCAAGGCCGATGATGACGCGGGAAACAAGGATCATAATGATATTCAATGATGCGGTTTGAATGATGGCTCCGATAGACATGACGACGACTCCAACGATAAGTATCTTCCTTCGTCTGAATTTCTCGCCGAAAGCGAACGAGATCATAGCGCCAACGAAACTGCAAAAGGCGAGACATCAAAGTTCGTATAGGACTGATCAGGCGACCAACATACCATTCAATATTGTACAGAGAGACAATGGTGTCTGAACCTGAGAGTTAAGGTATTATCCCACCACTCCCAAAAAGTCCTCCGTGACTATGATTCCATCATATAACCCAAAACTGACAGATATGGAAAACGTCTCAAATTACTTTCCACCGACCCGCGTGCTGCCTCTTGGACCTACGTATATTCCTCCAGCGATGCAAAACCTGCATCTATGCAGTAATGGGCGACCACTCCGAGCGGAAAACCGTGGGCGGGCGTGTGGCCATTGTCGGCACTGGAAGTCGTGCAGCGATGTTCGTCCGGGGTATCGCTGAGCGTCCTGCCAGTGCTGTGGTTGCTATCCTTGAGCCCAACTCTATTCGCGCAGCGTATTATAACGACCCCCTGAAGTCTTTGGGCTCCCCGACTATTCCTGTATATAAACCGGAACAGTTCAAAGTCATGCTCAAGGAGGAAAGAGTGGATACCATCGTTGTCATTTGTATAGACGCCTTACACCAGCTATATATCATTCCAGCGCTGGAGGCTGGAGGTGAGTACGGTAATCTATATGGTTTGAGGCTTTTCTAATCTGCCTATTACAGTTCGGGTACTTACCGAGAAGCCTATGACCACCGATGCCGACAAGTGCCGCGCCATCCTGGAAACTGTGCAAAGAACCGATCGTCATCTGACCGTTGCCTTCAATTACCGGTCAGCTGTTTCTTTTTCAACACAGAGAGAGATAATTGGCTGATCTAGTCTCAAGTCATTTCAATCCACTTTGAGTGGCTCCTCGACACTGTGCATGGCGCGGACTATTTCCGTCGCAGGCATCGACAGAAGGGTAATTCTGGCGGTCTGATGGTGCACAAATCTGGCCATCACTTCGATCTCGTGAACTGGTGGATTGATTCAGAACCGGAAACTGTCGTTGGTATGGGTAAGACCGCGTTCTATGGTAAGGATGCAGGAACGAGAAATTGCTGGGCTAAAGACTGCGAGCTCGTGGTAACGACGAAGCTAGGAAAGATCATTTCGCCATGCATATGGAGATGGACAACACTGCGCAGAAGCTTTATGCGGAAGCTGAGAGTGAGGACGGTTATCATCGTGATATGAAGGTGGGTGTGCCTTTCACTGGCCGGTACTCGTTCTGACATTCCCTCTCATTGACAGGTCTTCGGGCCTGACATAGCTATCGAGGACGACATGAGCGTCATGGTGCGCTACGAGTCCGGTGCCGCCCTGACATACTACTTGGTACCTCTTATTCTTGATTGCTGTCGTAGCCACTGACCGGCCTCTAGACCACCTATTCCCCATGGGAAGGATATCGTGTAATGTTCAACGGTTCTGAGGGTCGCCTCGAACTCGATGTCGTCGGATTCACTTAACGTTTCTACACATGGAAACCAAAATGTCGCTATCCTGATTGTAGTTTTATATGTACAGTAGGCTTGTTATGTATGTTTTCTCAGGCTCAGTTTCTGCTAGTTTGGAAATGCAAAACAATTTTTGAAGGTCTTTCGTCGAGCATTTGCGTTAATCACAAGTTCGTGGCATCTTAACTTCATCCTTCGCTTTTTCTTGTTGCTTGAAAGTCGCTCCTGGTACAGGAATACATATGATCCTTGCAACGATTTTTTGTGGCAATATCACCATGACCAGAATATGGCCCGAGAGCTGCCTTTTTTTATTAATGAAAAAACGTCTAGTCTTAACCGAGTCTAAGCTACTGCTTGTTAGTTCCATCGAGCCAGAAGTTTGTCTTTAGGTAGTAAGATGTCTGGGAACTCCTGAACCGTGAGTACGTGCCATGTGCTGCACCAAGCCTTGTCTGCACTACCAATTCTCTCCCTCTCTCGTTTTACGTTTGGTGTCTTTTTAACCTGAAAGAATCCCTGACACACTATGGCTAGCAGTGATGTCGACAGTTGCTGCGGTCTCCCTGACTGTGGTGTCCGCAGGAGTGAAGACTCTTGCCGCCACAGTGACTCTCGTGCGGCGGCCCCGACCCCGAGTATAGAAGAAACCGATCAGCCATGCTCCTGTTGTTCCGGTGGCGACAGTCTTGAAATTGATGATAGCCGGCAGTCCAAAGCAGAGTCGATTGCGCTGCAAACGCGGTCGAGTCGAAGCAACAAGTTTTCATTCGTGAGGTTCGATAGATGTGAAGTGTGCTACTAATATTAGCGATGTATACCAGAGTGGACATGAATCTTGTGAATTTTGATCAATCAAATGTCAAACTCTCGGATGTCTCACACCGGTATTTATAAAGAGAGGGACCTCAAAGCGCCTGCCCAGAACTTTGTCCATGACCACCATGACCACCTTACAACCTACCCTGCAATGTGCAGTTTTGACACCTAGATTACTGCCGGAACTCATGGATGAAATAGTTGATGCCCTTTCCGATGATGTTCACTCTCTCACAGCTTGCGCATTATCCTCTCGCCAACTTGTCCACCGCAGCCGCTATCACCTATTCCGCACCATACACTTCGATTTCATCCCACATCGGTCATTCAATCGCTGCGAAAATTTCTTGGAGAAGTGCCAATATGTGGCGCCACTTGTAAGGAGTCTTACCTTGAGCGAAAATGCCCTCCGGGCCTCTGAACCGCAGCTGCCTATCATCTTTGCAATGATGAAGAACTTGACATCCTTGCATCTTGTCAAGGTGGACCTAGTTGGCATTAATATCATCTGGCCTGAGGTTGAGGAATTGGAGATGAAGCATTGTTATGTGACAAACCTTGGCACCTTCCTCAGCGGGTTCCACAAATTAAACAAGCTAGCGCTATGCGACATATACATTTATGAAGAGACATCCCCATCATCTGAAGTTTCTCTTGAGCTTGAAGAATTAGTGATTACCCCAGCCAACACCCAATCGGACATGAATACCATCATGTGCCTCCTCCCACTCCTCTCCATGCCACCTTGTATTCGACGGCTCACCTACCCAATTTACCATCCAGAGCAGAACATCCCACAATACAATGTGATTCCTTATACACACCTGGATGAGTTATTTCTAGTGGGAGCCTCCGAGCCAAAGATACCCGTTCCGGATATCCAAAACGTTACCAGGCTTCGTTTGCTTGTGATCACCCCCTGGCACTGGGATGTGGCAGATGGATGCAAAAACTACGACGAGCTAACAGATTGGCTCATACACCTGCTACATAAAGCCCAAGGGGGGTGCTTAAAGGAGGTCCAATTGGAGTATGGCCTGATTGGCATATCTGGGAGTCAGAACAAGTGGGCAGAGCTCGATGCAGTTCTGTCGAAGATGGAATTGAGCAAGGTTGAGCTCGTGTTCAGCGCAACCGCAGAAGAGTGGGACAGAGAAGGAGAAGAGAAAGCCGAGTGGAAGCCAGAAGGATTGACGTTCAAATCTGCTGCGTTCTTTGAACAAGTTAAAAGGCACGGGTTGTTGACAGTCTCCAGAAGATACTTAAGTTAAGTTTGTATGTTTGCTACTATCTAGACGCTGCTATTGCGTTTTGGACATTGAATCAGCTGCATATAGGATACAAATAATACAACTTGTGTTTTTCATTATCATAAATCAGAACATATATATCAGTGAATATGCTGAAAGGTTACGAGTCACAGCTGCAGGTTTCAACCGCCTTTCATGATCTAGGATCGCAACAAGACTAAACCAACAGCGAAGACCTAGCAGTCCTCGTCTTCGATTCGACGAAAACACATCACCATTTGAAGGCGCCGAAATTTGTGTTTGCTGCAACCTGTGGCACTTTTCACTTGTGATCCTTGTCTGAGAAGATCCAGACTTTTAGCATTGCGCGAACAAGTGAAGAGGGTCTGAGTAGAGGACAGACCTTTAATCATTCATGCGCGTGCCGTTTGCGACCTAGAAATTGCACTCCAGGCGAATGCAGGTGACCGTATTGAGAGTCCTTGTCATTCAGGCTGATTAGAAAATACTCACCGCATGATGGGGCTCTTCATTCTCGTTCATCGAGCTCGGGACAGTGGTTACGTTCTTGTGCGGCCGCAAAACCTTGCACCTCGAGTAGAAGGGACGTGAAAATATTAACTGAAACCAGCCGTCACGATTCTTACGAGGGACAGGGGGGCCGCACAGATGCACTGTCGCCCTATGAGCATTGATATTTCTCATCGGAGCCATTGTTTCGATCTCTCACGCATACAAGCAAACCCCGTATCTTTGTGGTGCGGGGGCATGAATATATATGCTGCTCTGCTAGTCCATGTGGTCTCAACGTACGTTCGTTTTCACAGTGCCTGTGTAGTTCTTCATTTCTGCAGGGCCGGCGGTCTTGTCTTGTGGTTAATGTATTGGCGTTTCCTTATTCGACACCAAGTCTCATGCCATGGTCTTCGTGATCATGTCGCCGGCACCAACCGTCCGAATGCAATATAAAATATTTGAATTTCCCTGGAAGGCCCTGTGGTTCTGGTGAGGTATAAGCAGTCATCAATAATGGAGGGAAGAAAAGAAGGTTGGGCGAAAGAAAGGCAGTCAAAGGTGACAGACAACGGGTGAGAGAGAGAGGATGGGATTATCACATGGAGGAATGCGTACACACCTGATATGCATGCAATTTTCTGCCGATGCGACCAAGTCCCCATGCAAGCAAAGAACCGACCATTCCGATTCCTCTGGACAGTCTCATCGTTTGCTTGTGTCGGCGCTACCACTGAAAATTGGATGAGAGGATTTCGCGAGGTGGAATATTCCAGCGTACCATTTGCGTTATCGTCATGAAACAAAGCGCTAATAAAGACCTAAGTCATTGTTTCGAAGATATGGAGTTATTGACATACCAACTGTAGCTTCGAATATTCCCAGGAAAAATCTGCCCGCGAGAAGGCCCTTGAAATCATGGGCCGCCGCAGTACATGCGACCTATTCCCCGCGTGAGTCCGAAGGCGGTCCAATTTCCCTTTAAGAAACACACGTACCACCGCTCCCCACATGAAAACGTTAACAAAAACTGTGATATAATACGCATAAGATTATGTCCAGAATCAATTCAAACACTACCTACGATATTTGGCAATCGGCAGTTTGACCAAGAAGTACGAGGAGGCGGGTTGCCATATCAGCTGTGCTAAGTACACAATGCTGCTGAGCCAGCTATATATCAGGTTCCAACCAGTCCTACGCAGTTTAAGGTAAGCTAAACGAGTCTTATGAGAATGTATGTCACGAACCTGTTTCAGGGACTATTCCAAATACAGAGGTGTAAGAAAGCGAGGATCAAAGTGGAAGTCAGTACGAGGGAGTCATGGGGTAAAAACCCGCTTGCTTGCCCAGCTGCTGAAAAAAAGTACACGAGAAGGATAACAGGCATGAGCCACATGTCTATCTTTCGAAGTACTCGTTTATTCTCCTGATCGTATCCTGAAAGAAATCGCTTTAAGTGAAAAACGCGTGGAACAACCGAACACGCCCGTACCCACATTGACCCAGGCGTTGAGCGTCATTCCTGTCAAGCGAAAGTGAGGCTTCTTGTCCGAGATGATTTTCGACATGGCGAGTTGAACAACCGACGAGCTCAAAAAAAAAACATGAAAGAAGCCAGAGAGGGCATAGAATGCCACGTCCAACTTGAACTTTTATACCCTCCATAGCTGTCATGCTGAAATCACCCTGGACCGATCCATCCACCGCACAAATGCCAGTAAGAAATACTGACCAGGAGACCAGGACTAGGAGAAAATCTGTCAGTCGACACGAATAAATTGACGTCCCTACCGCCATTTGATCATCACATATACATGTGGGGGTATTTGGGAAAAGAAGTTCCATGGGATATTTGTTTTGAAAAAGGTAAATAATCCTACCACACATTATACCGTCGTACAAGGTGACCTGAATGATATGTATAAATAATGAGCAGATTAACAAAGAAAGGAACATTGCCATAATAACTATGAAAGAACGAAAATACACGCCCAGAAAATAACCAGAAACATAGCTTGTTCATATATCATCATAACTTCAGCTCCGTAAGCACCCGTCTAGCAAGCATCTGGTACTGCCATCCATCACCGCTTGCTCTTCGAAATTGTATACCATGCAATGGCAACCAAGGAACCTGAAGCATACCTACTCAGCATTTCCTGAACTCAACCAATTCAAACACTTACCTTGACGATATTTATCTCGAAGCGCACGCAGAGTGAGTTGTTCCCCATGGTCTCGAACACATCTTGTTCAGCCACCGGAAGCGGACTTGCACTCCGCGCCCCAGGCGCAAAGTCCCGCGGTATCGGAGGAAGCACTTTAGACTTCACATCTGCCGCGGGAGGACTCGGGGGGGACACTTCGATCTCTACAGAGGGCGACGCAGGAACGACCGTGTTATTCCCAGTGGAGGAAACGTTGAGGAAGGATGACGATCGACTCGGTGTCGTTAACGTCGTCGTCCCCGACGGTCGGCCAGGCGTTTCCATCGAAGGCTCTCGGTCCTTTTTCTTCACACCAAAAGACAGTTTCGACGCCTTCTTGACGATAGAAGGACGTGGCTCGCCCGTCTTCGGTGACGGGTCCACAGAGGACATATCAATCGACGGCAAATGAAGGCACTCGAATCCCCCTTTCGTCTCTCGATACTGTACTTGCATCCGGTCCAGAACGCGTCTTATATCAGCCTTGATGGCCGAAGGAGATTTTGTAGATGTCGTCGCGACACTGAAACACCAGCTTAAAAAAGAAAACTATACACTCAGCGTCTGGAAAACACGAACCTAAAAAGACCTTTCAAAAACAATGGCTTGAAATCCTTATCATTTGTAGGGACATCATTCGGACGGTCGTCATCACTGGGAATGGGAGCAGTCCGTATCTCGTTCTCCTCTCCCTCGCCCTCTTCATCAGTCTTCGAGAAAAGTTTCTCCGCCGCTTGTCGAGGGCCACCTAGTGAAGGGCGTCTACGTCGACCGATAGTCCCCCCTGCGCTCGAAAGCAATGCAGCACCAGTGCTACTCCGCCGCTCATGTCGTTTTCCACCGCTTTGCGGCTCCAGCACAGTGGCTGCCCGCCGGTGGCTGCCAACCGGCTGACTTTGGCTGTGAGAGACAGACTTGGGTGTCGAAACGCGTTCTTTCTCGTTCATCTCCTCGCTCTTCTTGCTGTCCACACTCTTCTTATGCTCAACACTCCTTTTCTCGTCACCACTAATTTTCTCCTTGTCCTCAGAGTGTCTGGATTGCTTCTGCGATAATGTTAGACTCGCCAGGATGGTCCCCCGCCTTCCGACGCCATGCCGCTTCGAGTCGTCACCCTTGCCGACTAACATACTGCCAAATTTCCGCACGAGCGTGGCACCAGCGGAGATAGAGAGATGGTCCCTTTCTTTCTCCTCACCGTCCCTATCCTTCTCCCGGTCTTCCTGGGCTTTCTTCTCCTCCTCTGCATCCTCGAATGTCGTAACGTGCGGCGCAGCACTCTTTGATAGTTCCAGCGCAACAACTCCGTTTTCGTCCACGACTTCTTCGTGCCCGACCCTGCCCGTCCACCCCCGTGACACTGTCAACGGCCGTTGGCTCAGGCTATGACTTCGTCTGTGTGTGCTTGCTGGGGGAGCTCGAGGAAGTGCGGAGGCACCTGAGACGGTAGCCTTATCCAGTTCCACCCTCTTCTGTGCTGAAGGTGACGGTGGCGGAAGACCAAAGTCGCGGGGACGTGGTTGAGGATGGAAGCTTGGCGATGTAGGCGACGGAGCGGCTGCCGTAGTATCGTAGGACATCCCTGAATAATGGGACGTTTCCGGTGCAGGTAAGCGAGGAAGTGGCATGCTGTAGTCGGCCTTAACTGTTGCCGACTCCCGCTTTGGCGTATCCTTCTTCGAAACCGGTATAGGAGGAGGTTCCACAATAAGGGTGCTACTGGTGGCAGCGGTTGAACGAGGGTCTTGTATCGATGTTTGTGAACTGGCGAACTGACCGGGACCGTAGACACGTTCCCGTTCAATTTTCTCCCTAGAGAGGTAGTACATTGATATCAAGGGGTGGAAGCCTTTCGTTGGGTCCAACGGCTCTCGGTTAGGATCTAGTAACGATGCATGGGAGAGATGGCTTTGCGAACCTGGGGGAGATTGACTGAGGGGACTAGAAGGAGGAGACGAGGATGGCGAAAACAGCTTTCTCCGGTAAAAATCAAAACCAGAAAATCTTCGAGACTTCTTGGAAGGCGTCGGGGGTTCAGCCTTATCCAGCGATATTGCGAGACTCGAATTGGATATTGAATCGCCCCACCGCCCCATTGTTCCATTTCCATTCACACCGCCACTACGCTTACGTTCCCAATACTGGACGGCTCGGATATACGATTCGGACTCAAGGATGGTGACGAGATTCTTTTCAATGTCCTGCTCAGTGCCAAATTCGAAACCCTTCATGCCCTGAATGACTTGACGGTCAAGTTCGTCCGCACGGAGAGGCTCGCGGTGGAGTAGGTGATTTTCGGGAGGTCCACTGAAGCCTCGTACCATCCATGGATGGCTGAGGACCTCGGACAGAGGCGCGCGTGCTGCGGGATTCGTGACCAGCATTCGAGATAGGAGACTCCGGCATTCTGAGCTGAGCCACACCGGGTATTCCACCAAACCCCGTTTTATCTTCGCATGAAGAGCAGGCATGCTCTGGTCATCGAAGGGCACCTTTCCACAGACGAGGACATAGAGTACAACGCCGAAACTCCAGACGTCGACTTCCGGGCCGGTGTAGACTTTCGCATTGAGGAGTTCAGGGGCGGCAAAGTAAAGGGACCCACAAAATGTGGACAGATGTGCTACCGGATCATAGAGGTTGGATAAACCGAAGTCAATGATTTTGATGTTACCGGTTTGTGAAATGAGAATATTTTCGATTTTGAGATCTAGAATGGACGAGTGAGGTGAATCAAATTGTCCTGTGTAATGCCGTACCTCTATGAACGACGTTATTCCGATGGCAATAGTCCAAAGCGCTTCCTATCTGCCGGGCAAACTTCCTCGCCACTCTTTCCCGCAGGCGGCCGTGACTGATGATATAATCGAGCATCTGGCCACCGTTGACATACTCGAAGACCATGTAGTAGTGGTTCGCATGAGTAATCATCTCACGCATACCGCAGACATATGGATGGTGGAGTAACATAGATAGAGCAGCTTCGCGAAGTGTTCGGATTTCTTTTGAAGCATCTTTCGAGGCTTGCCGTGCAATGGAGTCCGGAGTAGCGCTGGTGCTGTGTTGGGTAGCTGCAGGGTTAACTCTTGGAAGAATTTTCACGGCCATCTAGAGGAATAGTGAGGAGAGAAAAAAGGAAAGGAGTAGTAGCGCACTTGTTCCCCAGTCAAATTGTGCGTTGCAAGCTTGACCTTGCCCATACTGCCAGCACCCAGTGTCTTGGTGAGGGTATAGTCTCCGAGAATACGCCTCTGCGTCCGATTTGAGATGCCATTGCTGCGACTTCCATCTCTCCGTCTTTCTTCACCTGCCGTATGCGTCCGATGATCCTTTGCGTCCGAGGTGCTCCCAGTGTTCGAACCGTTCGCAGGAGCCACCGAGGCGATATTATATGCCTGAGGGGGCATGGAAACGGGCCTTTGACGGGTGGCAGAAGCGGATAAACGTGGCACAGCAGCAGAAACAGGTGGGTGAGATTCTGATGCAAGCGGCTGGGGATGTGATGGTCGGAGAATTTGCATGTCAAACTCGTGTCCGGCGGTGTCCGTGCCTCGGTGAGATTGCGTCTGTGCTACGCCTCCCTCAACGTCCTCGGGTACTTGGTTCAGTTGGTTTGCAAGAGACGCCGTAAATGCTGCTGCCATCAACTGATATCAGGAGCAATGCGGTCGAATCTAACAAGGCCCGTGGGCACGAAGTCGAACGACGTTGATACCGTAGGAGGTGGTGCAGCTCACTGCCAAGGAAGGCTGCTCGACGTTTCCGATTTTTGTCACGGTGGTCGGTGGTAAAGGTGGAAAGTCGGAGCTAGTTGTCCGCCTACCAAATTTGGTTATTTGACATCAGATTGCTACTATATACTCGTCTCTTAAAATAACAGCAATTCCAGGTTATATTGTATAGTTACACAATGGTATACAGAGCAGAAGAGAACTGAGAACTGTACGAACAGTACAGTACAATCCGAAATCATCGAGGAAAAGGATAGATGAACGACACAGCTTCAATGATACATATTATACAGACCTCGCAACCTCATCACCAGATGGACATGTTATTCGTATGCGAATTTAGTACACCTTGAGCTCTTAGTGCAGGCACAGAAGGAAAGAAAACTGATAATTTGGTCGGTACAGCTGGAAGGCGCCTAATCAATATAGCAGCTGTCTGAAAAATGTACGCAGACTGACTCCAATGATCCCATGATACTGTGCATATGATCCTATGATGTCTTTTTACTTCCCTCCGGCGCTGGTCGTAACCAGGTCACGGCATGTCTGTTGAACATCGGCCAAGGCGGGACAACAATCTGTATTGTCGTCGTAAGGTACTGCGGTTTCATGGACAAAATGTGGGAAGCGTGGGACTTACAAGTGCCAAAGCAACCACCGAGACGCCGTAAAGGATGAATGTTGCGTGTATTGATTGCAATACAAAACCGATGATGAATGATATTGCCTTCGAGATATGTCAGCAATGTCTAAATCCAACAACGAACGCGCGCCGGTAATGGTGTACACCAGCTCTTGTATTGGGAAATCTTCGACAAGCGAAGCATCATCGACCGTGAGTCGACAAATTCTGCACCCCAAAAGAAACCGTAGAACCCTGGGTGCTGAAATGCTGTCACACGCAGTTACGCTGGTTCCAAAGAGCAGTTGTGCGATGACAATTCGAAAATGCACGCTGGCGGTTCTAAAGGGCAGTAGAGGCCTCACCGTTGCTGCAATTAGGTATATCCTCGATATTTGTTCAGCTAGTCTCTGGCCTTCAAAATCCTTGAAGGTCTGTTAAATACGTCGACAGTCCTAAGGAAGCAGCGACGCACGATTTTTCCTAACTGAGAGATGGATTCCATTTTCACTCGTTTCAAACTACCAGCCGAGATAAGGTTAGGCAGAAGGCAACGAAAAGGTGAGAGACGAATGCCTGGCTATTGTGAACGTGTAAGTTGTGGATTGAGGGAAATGTCAGGGTAAATTTCTTTCTAACCAAATTAGCGCCAAATTTAGCGAAGCATTTTGGGACAGAATTTGGGTCAAAATAGATACAGCATGATTCTTTCGCCGTCAACCAACGCCAAGCATCCAAGGCGTTCAATAATCGAATACACTATCCAATTCCCTCTAACATGACAGAGTATTCGTTCCGGACATACCGGTATTTTCTTCAGTCGCGCATGGATCAGCGCCCAAGCACAGATGTACATCGTTTCTGTACGCCTTTGCCCTATTTATATTTTGGCAATGTTCCAATGGGGTAAAATTCGTGATCCATGTATATCGCGGCTCTCTTCGTCGCCGGGATATACTACGCATCATTATGGTGTCTGATGAACGCTTGCACCTTCAAGTCCTACAAGTCCGTCTTTTATCACCATGGGTATGGACGAGTAGGGCTGTATAAGAACGCGGACGCTTCCCGTCGCTCGTGAAAGATGGCTACCCTCCTTCCCATTCCGTAACCACCATCAACGCCATTTATAGGCAACATAACATCTTTGGACAAAGGTTCGGTGCTGTGTTTTCTAAGAGACCGGCAGCTGATATTTGCTCGTGGCAGATTTACCGACACGTGGTTTTCATCGACCCGCATATATCAACTCAACGTGTTAAGAGCTGTCCTGCTGGGCTGAGTTCACCTACAGGCAGGGTGGTAGTATTCGCCAGTTCATACAACCTTGTCAACGAGCTGTCGGATGATTCGAGATTCCGGAAATCAGTTGGTAGCTTTTTTTTCTCCTACGTCTACATGCTAGCTGTCTGACTATCCATTACAGGCAGCGCATTAAAGGAACGCGAAATCTCGTTCATGATGGAATCTTCACAGCGTGTTTCTCCGCCGTGCTTTCATATCGCTCTATACATGACAGGCTTTCAGTGATGAACTCAATTGGGCTATTGCACGTACGGAAGGGATTTCACTTGACTTAAGATGTGACCGTTGACATCCGTCGTCTCTCCCCATCGACTGCCTTCTTACACCCGCTTTCGGCGAAGATTACATCCTACAGAGAAGCGGGATATTCTCTATTCTATGATGAACGAGAAGGACCCTAAGACGGGGTTGAAACTCTCGAACGAGAGTATTACCCACAACGTAGGCCTTTCTTTAATGTACTGCTTAGTGTCTAATGGCTCTTCTATTTAGCTTCTAACATTCCTCATCGCAGGTGCAATTTTTCCTTTTTTTCCTTTTTTCTCGTAAATGGACTCTGAATCATGTCAGGACCCCCTGCCCGATTTTAGCCGCGCCGCCCCCTTGTGACAAATCGAAATACGATTGACGCCACGCGACCACGTGTTTCTGAAAGTTTACCTTGTCACTACCACCATTGTTCTACGCAACCGACTTTAAAAACACGCAAAAATGGCTGCCGCTGTATTGTTTCTTGACCCCCTACTCACTTTCTACCCAACTCAATTAAACGATTCGAATTCTTCGCCTCGAAATGCTGGCTCTGGGTTCCCCTCCACCCGAGAGAGGAAGACTCCGCCGCCAGAAGAGTCTGTAGCTGAACAGATACGCTCCTCTGTGCAGAGCACTCCGCTCAGCAATCACGTCCCAACTGTGAATCCCACAGCCAACGCGGATCATCTTGTGGCAGACTTCGAACGGTACATCCTAGAAGATCTTAGAAACCGCGTTTTCATGTCTGCCGACCATTATTTTACGAATATTCTCCATCTTCCTGACGACTGGCGGACGGATGGCGAGATAAAATCTCGAATCGAGGCCCTCAAAAACGACGTTGTATTCAAGAATGATGTCAAGACCTACATCCAATTGTGCAATGAGAACAATCCCGGGGAGAAGTCCTTCTACCATCCCCACGGCCTCATGTGTAACAGTGCGTTCGACGTTCTCGGTGCCACTGAAGACTCTCGACTTTGCATCTATCGACCAGACGCGAAGCCGGTTGCCGGCGGTTTAGAAAAGAACGTCCCTGATACCTTGGGTGTTCTTCGCGCGATGTTCAACAGTTCCGGAAACGTTGTTGACAACATGAAGGACAAAGGCCCAGAGTATAACTTTGCGTGGGCGCAAACAATGCATTGGCAGGAATTCAAGCCTAATGCGTGCTACCTCGACGAGGGAACGGAAGCTATCTATAGAGTTATAACACCTGGTAAGCACTACTATTCTTTTCCTACTGTGTTCTTCTCACTTATACTTATATCAGAGGGTGAGGATCCTAAGGGAGAGGTGAGAGGCAAAACCCGAGACCCTGGCGGCATCCTCCCTCCGGTCATGTCGCGCACGGGCTCCACGTTGAAGAGGCGTCATTCGGAAGATGAGCTTCCTCGTATCCACTCCAAGTATGCGCGCTATGGGACGACGTCCGAAGTTTCGCAGGCCAGGAAAGGAACAGACGAGTCGCTGGCACATAGTTCTGCGAAAGAGGGAGTCGCGGCGGAAGATGTTGCGCGACGGGAGGAAGAAGAAACCCAGGCTCGCCGAGCCGCCCGCCTCCAGTGTGGTCGTTACACCCTCGAGATGCTGTCTACTGCCGGTTTTCGGACGCACTGTATTGGCGCTCTGGTTACTGTGGGACAGATACAACCCCTCCACTACGATCGCTCCGTCATCATTGTGTGCAAATCGATTGACATGTTCAAATCGCATGGCAAGCGACCGAAGATTACGGAAGAGGTTGTGACGGACGAGTTCGCCGCAGTGCTCATCGGATTGGGTCGACTCACTGTGAAGCAGCGGGACATCCAAGAAGAATTCTGCGATGACAGGACGCTCATCGAGAATCATAAGATGTACATGGACATGTGTGGCAACCCCAGGAACAAGGAGAATTTTGACAAGACGGCTATCTTCGTTGGGGTGAAGTTGAAGTTGGGTAAAGATGATAAGAAGGTTGAGGTCACCCTTGGCCGAATTCTTTTGCGCCAGCCTGGGATTATCGGTCGGGATACTTGCATCGTCGAGGTGACATCGGAGCACGAGGAGTGGAAGGGTAAAGAACTTGTTGTCAAGATCAGCTGGCCTGCTGCCAGTCGAAAATCAGAGGCAGAATTTGTCATTAGAGCCAGAGAGAAGGCGCGATCCATGCCGCAAGGGAAAAGGCCAGACTGGGCCTTAGACCATTTGCCCGACGTTCTCCTTTCTCAAGACTTTGACTACGGCACGGATTCTACTCAGGTGAATCTCGTCGCTTTCTTTGCAACAGCCATATTTGCAAAGGAGGAAAAGTTCGAGTATGAAAAACGCGTCTGTCGAGTTACGGTCCAGGAGAGGCTGTATCCTCTTGAAGAACTGCGGACGGTTCAAGAGTATGCTCAGGTCTTTTTTGATATTTTGCAGAGTGTGTATTTTTTTTTTTTGGTTTTCGCGGTGTTTTCTGACGGCTGGCATAGTTCACAAATGGCTGTACGATCACCCAGGAATCCTCCACCGTGATATCAGTCCTGGAAATATCATGTGGCGCCGAACCGTCGACGGTCATTTACGTGGGGTCCTCAACGACTTTGACTTGTCTGCCTACCGACATGATACTGGCCCTTCATTGCGTCAGCGCACCGGTACTCTACCCTACATGGCGTTCGAACTCCTCATCGATGACGAAAATGGTCATCCACCCAAGCACCTCTATCGACACGATGTAGAGTCCATCTTCTACGTCATTCTCCTCCTCTGTTGTCGTTACATGGTCGTGGCTAAACAAGACCTTGATGGACGCCCGATCCTGGAACGCACGCGAGTCCATTCCCCATTCAATAGCTGGTATAAACTCGATCGTGATGATTTGAAGTACAAGAAGTGCTTTTTTATTACGAAAATTGACTCATTTTCTCCTATGGCAAACAGTGGCTTCACTGACTTTCAGTCCTGGATAAATCGCATTCGCCAGCAATTCCTGCTAGGGTTCCATGCTAAGAACGGACATATACTACGGAAGGACCTTGGAGTCATGGAGTCCTTTGAGGATGAAACTCTGCAGACCTGGGTTTCTTACTCAGCCATTGTCAAGACCTGTAGTGAATTCGCTGGTTCGGCTCTCATAGTACACAACGACCAGGTCAAAGAGGGCGCCTAGTACTAGATCATAGTCCTCACACTTTCTTGTAATCTTCATCCTTTCCGCGGCCAAATAAATGTGTTCTCTTCTGACTTCAGTCACTGGCTGGCTAGCCGAGTTTCGCGAGAAAATCGTAGGGTCTAAAGAAGTGTGTCTACACATCCTATCATGAATTAATTTTCTCATGGTTGAACTCGATAGACATCCTGAACCAACGAGCGCCGTTAAGCTTCGGGCACGACAGGCTTCTAAAAGCTGTTCAAGCAACGGAAGCACCATCGTTCGTTCTAAGCTTGTATCACCCTGGCTGTCCTCACCGTGACTGCCAAACTTCATAATATTACTACCATCATCCAAAATACATGCGTGTACGGTAATCTTTGATTGGACGATATGTAAAGTACTATCAATTGGTCCAGGTAATCGTGGTTCAATGCCTCAGGATAGCATCTGTTGGGATTTTGCTGGAAAGTTCTAGAAAGGGCAATCCGGCATCATGCCGAGAGTTGATGAGTAAGCCCGAGAGAAAGAGAAAGTTGTAGTAAATTCTAGATACAAGCCTGGAGAGTATAAATACGAGCTCTGTAGGAGCTGCAGAATAAGGAGTTCATACCTTCTGGCCTTACCAGCCTGGAGTCTACCCTGCGCATCACCGAGGATTCCCAACAGCATCCATATTGAAAACAGCGATAGGGTCGGTTGAGAAGGTCACAGAGGTCGCGATATTCGTGGTGTTGGGATGCCGATCCGGGGCCACGGAAGCCGTACATGGAATTGGCGTTGGGAAGGCAGACCCTGAATGTGAACAACCATTCTTCGGCCCTGTCCTTGAACTCGTCTAGCCAAGCCTTCCTCTCTGCCATTTTCTTCTCCCTATATATCTCCGCACGGGTCAGCCCTGGGCTTGATGGATTATACGAGACTTGTGTCGTAAAGTGTGCAAAACCGGCGGTATGTGTAGTCCATATAATTACGGCAAGTCTAGGTATTTGACCTCTGCAGCTGTGTGTGCATCTGCGAAAGTGAGTATCTGTGACAGACTGCTGGCGCCATTCATATTCCCTATGACGAGAACGAAAAGACCGTGAGAGAACATCAAAGTCTCCACGAACCGCGGGCTACCCAAGGTCGTTTCGAGACCGGTACGAGTCGTGGCCGAGAATCGGCGACAACGCAAATCAGTTTATCCCTTGGATGATGAGCCTTCTGGGACATGAGCTGGATGGAGTACATTTCGCCGTATTTGGACGCGGTAACCATGAGTGGAGAAAGACGTACCAACGGAACTCTAGACTATGTGACGAGTTACTTGAGAAACGAGGCGAACGTAGGATTGTCGATAGAGGGGAAGGAGACGCTACGGATGGGAACATATCTGATGTGTTTGAGCAGTTCAAGAGGTCCTTGTGGGAGGTTCTCTCTAGAGTGAGTCTCCTCACTGAAGTCACATTATCGTCTTTTGATTTGGTTGATCGCAGGAGTATTATGCTTTTAGGAGTTCATTTCAGGTGCAAGTTCTGGATAGCTGAAGAGCGGCAATACTTCAGCATTCAGGGATGGTTTTGAGCTGTATGCAGTTGAATGTGTTGTTGACTCAACCCGGCTTTCCGGTCAAACGTCATGAGGACGGGAAGATATGTATATATCATTCATGGGCTCATTATCTGAGTCATTATTAGAGGCTGATCTACTCGATGGTATGACTTATCGTGCTGGCGATTACTTATCCATGTGAGTCTGCCACAGTACCACGCAAGATTGAAATTGATTTCTGTCTTTCTGAGCTTGCCATAAATTCCTTCTCGGGATGTCCATCGCGTGTTTGCCCATTTCAAATTATCTTTTGACCAAGAGGCAAGCGTTCTGTCTGCTGTTTTCGCAAGCGTCGTCTTGTGAATATCCCTTGTAGATCAAAATTTCGATGTCAAGTACGGCCCTTCTTCCCTTAGGAGAACGCATACCATTGTCAAGCGTTCTCAACCGGTTTATTGAACTCTCACGACCTGCCACAAAAGATGACATAGTCGGCCTTATGGATTTCGCAAAGTCGGACTGCTCTCGATGTTATTTCCGTGATCTCATCACCAACCATACCCACGCTGTAACATCAAAATGACTTGGCGTTCTCGACATTCTGGAGCGGCAAGGTTTCGACCGCAGAGATCTCCCCCTAGATAAATTCATCTGCATGCTTCCTTCAATATGACAAAGACAATATTCAATCTCCTCGTCGCCACTGTGGAATAGCCATCGCGTTTGTCGCACATTCAGCGTCCTGGATTCACCTCCTCTTTGTGTGTCGAAAACTCACACATATATGGGGGGTAGCATCCAATTACCTTGCAAATATGTGTACAGGAGACCAAGTCCTGGTCACCGTCAGATGCTCCGTTGCCAATTCTCGCTTGCTCTCAGATGTTTCCCGAACCCTGGTGATAATCTGTGCTGGATCTGGTTTCACGCCACTGAGAGGGTTCATTCAAGAGCGTGCAGTGCGGAAACGAGCAGGCGAAGACGTTGGGAAAATCTTGCTTTTCGTGGGATGCAGACCCCCTGGTGGAGATTTTCTGTATTCTGATACGGATTTAAAGGAGTGGGCGGGTATTGGACTAGTGGATGTTCGTGTGGCGTTCTCTCGGTGCGCGGATAAATCTCAAGGATGCTGTTATGTACAAGAGTGAGTGTGTTAGATGCAGTTGTATTTCACCTTCTAATGTCTCTTTGTTTTGCACCGCAGAGTTCGTTCGATTCAAGGCATACGTCTCTACAGACGTCTCCTCCAGCGACACCGCCCCCCGTACCCGGTCCCAAAAGTCTTCCTCAACTCATTATTCCCGACAAAGATAGTCCTGCCATTCCAGCATCCCGATACCTTCTTACGCGTCCGATTGCAAAGATGGAAACGCCCATCGAGTCACCGCCCACGTCTTCTTCTTCATCTGTCTCATCCGAATCTCTGTACTCCCAAGCGAGCGCTTCAACGCGCAGACACACCATGCTATCAGTGTATGAAGTACCACCGCCCGTTCCACCTATTCCCTTCGCTTTCCGATCTAGCTCAGGTCTGCGCGCTCTGCCTCAGATTCTGGATCACGTTTTGAAACGGGCGCGCGGGGAAAAACAGCAGGACGACTTGCACAGGATGCCGACAAAAGTCATAGCCGGTTTGGTGAAAGGTCGGGTAAAACGGGCCAAAGGGGCAGACTTAGACCGCTATGGGAGCAGAGTGTCGCGTATCGAGAGGCAGATTCTATTGTTGGAGGATATCCGTACGTTTCATTTTATCTTACTTTTCAATCACTCGTTCTATTTACTTTATATATACTTACACCTCCTGTCGTTTCCCGATCACCTATATAGTCCAGCCGTTCCTACCTGTATGCTTCAGTCGCTTCACCCACGTTGTGCCCGACTGAGATACTCACATATATTCTTCTGTCAATATCCATCAAGTCTATCGCTTCATCGTCAGATGAGGAGGGGGAGACGACATCTATGTCCGTGTATTACCCACACTTGGAGCGGACACGGAGGTGGTGGGAGAAGAGGTCACAAGCTCGGATGGACACAGTAACGGAGATGTCGTCGCCGCCGTCGCCGGATGCTAATTACACATTTAACGTTTCGACTTCTCCTTTACGGGTGAGGAAGAATTCTCTAACCGCTTCGTAACGTTTCAATGGACTCTCACTTGTATACTCTATGAAGAGCGACGTAAGTATTTGGACGACGGCCGTGCATATTTATGTATAACTTATTCTATAGGACTTCATTCGTTTTAGGTTCATACTATTGACATTGTATCCCCATAACTGTACATTATGGAAGCGTTTCGAACTCATGGTAGCCAAGCTCCGAATTCTCCCACAGCTCACTGAAACTGCGGCGAACTGTGGATTTATTATTTACAGCTGAGCTTCCACATAAACGTCATTATCTCCTTGTCTGTCGGTGGAGCAGTGCTTTGTCGGGCACGTTCCGCAGTGCTCGTAACAGAATTTGCGTTCTTTTTACTCAAGACCAAAGAAACAGGCCATTAAGTTGGTATAGTAGGGGTCATCGCCAGCGGTTTGCCGCTAACCATCAGCATGATGTCAGTCCAAGTCCACCGTATGCTACTATGTAATGTGTCCCACATATTCAGAGCTCTGTGCTATGGTCATGCGTTCTCCGATTTACGTCTCGCTGCCAGGAAAAGCCACGACGCTCAGTATCATTGCAAGCCCTGTTTCTGCGATTATGCGTGTGTTGGGACCGATGGTACTGCCCGCTTGCCATTCCCCATCTGTTAGCATCTCGGCCCATAAAAGTAGATGAAAAAGTGTCAGATATCTTTGCCGAGGAATCCCATCCAGTCATCTCTCATTGCCTTAGAGGTTTGACAAGGTATATGTGCTGCAGTTGTTTCTTGTTTCTTGTTGATAGTCCAAGTGGCATCTGGGCAGATAAAATGACACAGATTATGGACCTTTCTGTGGAATCACAGTTGCTCCACAAGCTTCCACTTGTTCATCGTCCAAAAGGCTTCGGAAAAACCTCCTTTTTGTCTATGCTAGAGTTTTTCTATGACTGCAAACATTACACAAAGCCCATCTCCGATGCGGCACTCAAGTTTACAAGTGTGAGGATGTTGATTTGGATGCACCACATTGTGACTTGGTCTTGTCTTCGATCTGTCAGTGCCATCAGTGAAAGATTTTCGCCGTTCACTTGGATTTACATTGATGGCATGTTCAGAAAGTTTTTATTGAAATACCAGGAGGAGCTCATGATCAATCCTATGCTTCTTAGCGAGGCTAGGATATTCACATTTGACGAAGTTCTGGTTCGTTGTGTTTTTGTGCCATTACTTCATTTAAGTGACATATTGGTTTTGCCCCAAGGTTCTTGTTCATCAAAAAAAGTGGGACATCTCTATCTTCATCGACAACTACAATGCATCATCCATCGCCTCTTGGAACTCATCTGAAGTCAATGAGTGCCTAACCCAAATGATTACTTTGCCCCTTTCCAATGCTTTGTTTTTTGTCCAAGGGCTCATTATGGGCACTGGGTTTGCACCGGATCCTCTAATCAATCCCTACTCTTGTGATGTTTGGTCTCTGGTGGCCATCGATATGACCGATGAGGATGTGGTGGAAGCCACATTTGGTTTCACCGTTGACGAGGTTCACAAGCTCTAATGGCACTTTGCAGTCCACTCTGTTGAGGCAGGGCTTGTATCCTATCAGTTTGGTCACCGAAAGGCGTGTTCCATGTACTCCATGACAGATGTGTTCAAAACCCTTCTTCTCCTACTGGCCTGTAGATTATGTTTGTAAAGAAACATAGTGTATGTTGTTTCGTAATTAGCTATGGCCTTGGACTTGTGGGCAGACAAGTTAACCTCAGTTTGAGTCCAATACAACTTGAGAACTAGGAACACGTTATCATGTGATCGAGTACATGCCTTAACACTTTTACACGCCGTCACTCGACGTCAAATGCGTCCTCCCCCGCGGTTTCTGAGCCCCATACAGGGTAATCTGTCGTGGCAATAACCTTTCTGATCTGTTCGAGGCCGTCAAAGACGTCCACGACGATGAATACTATTGTCAGTTGCCAGTTGGCGACCACGCGTGGATTCTGACGGGAAAAGTGGGCCACCCGTCAGTAGCGAGATCCGAAACGCCTGCTGCTTGCGTGGATATAGACCAGAGGGCGTCGAACGTGATCTCAAGAGGGCTGCACTACTGTCGCATGGTTTTTCGACAGCGAGGACTCGGACGGTGCGTTCATCAAGGATTCATGCGTCATCTTTCTAACATGTCATGTAGGATCCGAAAGTTCAGCCTCCGATACCCTTGTTAGTTATTATTCGACCTCACCCTCCGCGTAGGTTCCTTTCCGTCACACTCCGAGAGCAGTTGTTGTACCTCCAGTCCCATCAAAGTCAGTCAAGGGATTTTTAAGACTGATTGCCGTGAATCCGTACGTATACGTATCGTCGCCATGCCAGGTCTACTGACAGATGATACAGACATTACCATCGTGCTCTTTCACTGCATATCAAGATATTTCGTCGTCTCCTGGTGTCGTTGTCGTGTAGGTTGACAAAACATCCTGTCTTACAGGATGACATAGCCTCGCGACTTTTGACCCCAGGCTCGTTCTTGTCCGTCGTCCCGCAGGCTTTGGGAAAACTTCATTCCTGGCCATGGCAGAGTTTTTCTACGACGTCAAACATCGCAACTCCCCCGTAACTCCCTCTGCGTTATCATCTACGTGGATCGGACACTTGTGTTGCAAACACTGGCAGATACACAATAAACTTGCACGCGGACTTAGTGCTGACCTTTGACCTGGCCGCGACATGCGTATCTGATTTCGAAAAGTCGCTTGTCGAGCATGTCAACACGGTCTTGAAACGATTTTTGAACAAGAACCAACAGGAGCTCGAAATCACACCGAAGAATATCTCCTCTTATATTTACGGAGATGGGATCCACTCGTTGCCTGGAGTTTTGGTAAGGTTTTCCCTCTCCTTTTGTTAAATTTAACTTCTCATCTCCATTGCAGAACCTTGCACGCTCTCGGCTATGGAGCGTGTTTGTCTACATCGATAACTATAACGCACCGTCTCTTGCTGCTGGGGATGCGGCTGAAATTAACGAATGCCTCGAGCGATTTCTTGTTGGTCCTCTTTCATGTTATCTGCATGACTTCCACTCTGGTCTCATCATGGGCACTGGTGACGAACCGGATCCTCGCGTCAGTATGTATCACCCGCACCCTAATGTGTGGGAATGCATTGCTACTGACATGACTGACCACGAAACGATAGAAGTCTCTTTCGGTTTCATGCCTGACGAGGTTCACAAGCTGGCCTGTGAGTTTAAAGTCCAGCTTGGTCCCACGATGTTTTAGTCCAAATTTGAAGAAAGTATATTCGATGAAAGAAGTGCTGGAGGAAATCGGAAGACTGTCGGCAGCGAGGGATTTTAGTATATTAATTCAATATTACTGACTCCGACTATTCTATTTACAAAGTATAATGATATACATACAGTTCATGAGATTTGCAAGATGTCGAGATAAATGGTAATTCTCTGGCCGTTCACCCGGATGTCAGTAGGGAACACTCGCATGTTCGAGGGTCATCGCTGCGAAGGCCGATCCATTGCATACGTATCGCTGGGATGCGTCAGATGTCAGGAAGCACTGGGTTTTGTGGCCCCGATGGCGCGTTCGCCATTCTGGATATGATTCGATGGTTGGCTGATGCCTCCAATGTAGTATTTCGACCTCGTAAACGTAGTCGATTATTATACACCCCCCGGGCCTTCTATTTCTGCAATGTATGATTAACTGGTATACCTCCCATAGAAAGAGCTTCCCATCAGGTACTGAGGGTGGGAACAAATGCATAATGGTTTGTACATGTGAAGCGGCCATGTTATGTCTTCAAAATAATTCGTCAAAAGTGCTGTAGTCCATACAAGGAATGGGCCAAGGCAGTAGATGAGTGCCCCGCGCCGCGATCGACCATCTGCAACGTATAGAAATATCCGCCGTCAAAGATATCAGAACGCTATATTACAATTCTTATCATTTATACACAACTAAAATACTAGAAAAATCGATAATATGTGAGCCGTACGCTGTTGAAAACACCATCTACAAGGGAATCCCATTGACGGCACGCTGAAGGACCGCATCAAGAACCAATCCTCCGAGCACGATATTTCCTATCATCGGGGTGCGGAGGAAGAATTTCATGCATTGCCTGGGATCATCAATATTGGTTGAGAGCAGCTCCTTGAGAAGAATACCGCCGGACACCGCCACGGCGAGGTAATATGGCAGGCCTTGCCCATTGAGATAACCACCGTACGACACGAGGGACGCGAATCCGATGGTGGTGGTAGCGCAAACAGGAATGGTATATTCCCCACAGAACATGGCGAGCGACCTCATGCCGATCTTGGCATCAGCGAGCTTATCCTGTGGAAAAGAGACTAGTTAGAAAACCCGATGTCTGTATTGTAACTATGTACCTGGTGCTGGTATACAGTCTCATAGGTGATTGTCCAAAGGATGGCGCCGACGTAAGCAGCTGTAAGGGCCGCCCAGGGAATATGGCCATTAGGTGTAAGGTCAGCCCATCCCATGTATATCCCAATGTTGAACATCAGCCCCTTGGAAATAATGAGATCCTGAGACCCAAAACGCTAGGAGGAAAAACACACCAATGGAATGGGAGCAAAGTACATCCATCGCTTGCACGTAGGGTACAAGACATATAACGGCCATACAGTCATGGAAATACGAAGACTGTGATGACAGGTTTAGCGAAAATGTACCAGCACCATTGATTATTACTTACGCGTTAGAGCTCAAGAAGATATTGGCCAAGTAAACACCGATGACGACCTGAAGGGAGAAGAACAACCAAGCACGTTCTATACTGATCGCGCCTCGGGGTAGGGCGCGACCCTTGGTCCGTTCAACGCGAGCGTCGATGTCGCAGTCGAGGATATCATCAATAGTCATTATCTAGAAGAATCATGTTAGACTGGATACCAAAACAAAAAGTCAAGTTACCAACCAAGGATTTGATTCCGATGCAGAGGAAGAAGTAAAGGGCTGCACGGTGTAGAACCACGATCCCACGAAGTTCAGGGAAGGCGTGATATACCATAGCAAGCGACCATGCTACACAGATTATCATCAGATTATTAACCATGGATGAAGTACAAATGTATTGTTCTTACCTACGGGCAAGAAAACCGTGGAGCAGCCCATACCATTCTGAAGTCGGCAGAGTTCCCAACAAGCCTGAATCTCGGTGTGTGTCGGAGGGGCTAGGAACGTGAGGAAGCTAGAAAAGATAGAGGAGCGCCGTGAAACCCTGAATTTCTCGTGAGAGACTGGGAGGGCAGTCAGTCTTGTGTTGAAAGACATCTGTAAGATCCTGTAGGTGGAGAACTTGACTTCATGCTGTCATGAACGTTTCTGTTAAATAGGACACAAGCTAAGACAAATGGAGGGCATGGTGATAACAGCGCAGCGCTATGATCTTCCAAGTGCTAGTGTCTCCACTGCTCGGGGACTACGGATCCTACAGTTTGCATCAATTGCAGGAAAATTCAAAGGACCATCTTTCACCCATGAATACCAACCGAGAGCCAATGAAAGCTTTGGTTTCGACATGTCTGGCCAAAAATGATCTTCTGTGCCTCTTGTGATGACAGATATGAATAACAGCGTATGGATTCCATATTGGCTAGTCCATTTTCAGCAGATATCGGAACAGTCGCTTTGGCTACGCCCGCTTCTCCGAATCGCACTCAAGCGGTGATGACCATATGGGGAATCGGCCCTAACAGCCATAGGATCCCATCAGGTGATTCGTGTACATGTTCGAGATTCTTCGTGATGCTGCGAATGGTAGGGTACAGTCGTCGTTGAGTGTGCGGCATTGCTTACAACAAAAGTATTGGTTCAAGGACAAACAAAGAATGATTTCGAAGGCCGACTCGGACTTGCGGCCAAAGACGGAATACGAGAACAGAAACTTTCGCAGCGGCATTAGAAGAAAAACAAATGTGATTCTTTAGGGTCGCCTAGAGCATAATACGACCACGTGCAGTAAGAGTGATGCATCAAATTTGATGCTGGTCTTCGCGCTAAGCTGGAAGCCTTCACTTACGTCAACCTCACAAAAAGCCATGAAGGCAGCTAGTCAGTACACTACGTCGATGGCTTTACACCAAATGACATCCATGTAGGGATCTGGGCCGAACTACGATGGTAACAGCCAGTACGCCAACAGGAACGTCTCCTGCAGCTAAGATAGTGATACCCTGTTCATCTGTAAAGCCATGAGCTACAGGCATCACATACAGCTGGAACAGATGACTGGCCAGGTTCTCTATTACAAGAAATACTCTGGGGGAGGTCTTTTCGTAGGTATAGATCGTACGTCCTGTAGTCAACCTCAGCGGACAAACAGGGTACAAAAGAAGAATAGGATATCTACCATCGGTGCATGACTGAACACTTTATACTCCTGCCCAAGGTGCTCATCCAGCTCCAATATTGACGCGACGTTCCCACACCGATAACAATAATTCGGTGCACTCCACACAGTGACGATCATTCTGTCGAACATCAGCTTGTATCCCTCCATTGCAAGCTGGTGTGCACGGGCGATAAGGTCTAGCGCGTTGTGATGCGCAAAGTTTTTCGTTATATCAGCGCCGAAGAGGAAGCCTGCGCCTCTAGGGGAGAGGCCCCAACCTGTTATAGTATCTGCACTCCAGCGTTAGCGAGATAAGTAATACAGGACCAGAGAAAGTCGCACCATCTGGATCTGACCAGAGGAGATCACACATCGGTCCTTCGTGTGGCACTTCTTGTTTTCGTTCTATGGCCCGAATCTGATCTATACTGGCGAGGCTAGGACTGAGGCCGCCATGCACACAGAAGACGCGACCGTCGACGATTGCACCGAGAGCAAGATAGTCAAATACCTCGCAGCACCAACGCCATACATTAGAGCTGCCATACTTCCGCTGACACTCATCGTAAAACCCGTATACCTGGTGGTAGTTGAAACAAAAGAGAAGGACAACAAGTGGCGGTGAACGCACCTGGGTTATTTGTCGACTCTCGTGGTTCCCTCGGATGAGCGTCATACGGTCCGGATAGCGCACTTTCAGGGCCAGGAGAAGAAGAAATGTTTCTACGCTGTAGAATCCGCGGTCAACAAAGTCGCCTGACATAAAATTAAGAAGGTCAAACGCGCATATATGCAGGTGCACGCACCCATGAACAGGTAGTTCGTCTCTGGACACCATCCTCCCACTGCGAACAGCTCCATCAGATCAAAGAACTGGCCATGTATGTCACCACATATCTATCTCAACGTCAACCAAAGGGCGACAAATGGCAATGAAGGCGCTCACTGTAACTGGCGAGTCGACAACCTGAACGTTGCCCTCCTCGATGAGGATCTCCCGGGCTTTGATACACAACGTCTTCACTTGGGCCTCGGATATCGGTTCGCAGCGGCTAAGCTGGGCTATTTGGCTAGCAACAATGAGGAGTGAATATTCCGCAGAAACATGGCGCGCACCTGTCGAGATCGCTAGGCATGCTGAGGGGAGGTAGGACAAGGCCTTGCCAAGCCAGTATCATTAAAGAGGCACAGCCACACGTCACATTGCCGCCGGCAAATACCACGAGCAACGCTTCCCCCACTCGCTCCTCTCATCTCAACCCGCGGCAAGACGTTGAACGCATCTGAGTGACGCAGAAAGTACCAACTGTGATGACGCAGGTGGGTCTATGCTGCCGAGTAAGTTTGTTCACTTTCTGCTGCAAGCTTCATACAGGAGCGGTGGAGAGGAATAGGTTTGCGTGACGCCTCTGATACCATAGCCATATCGCAATATGCGCAAACCATATTACATAAATGAGCATTCCTTGGTCCAATCGCCAATTATTGAACTCAAATTGAGGGGAACCTAATTGTGCCAATCCTCCGGCATTGAACACCACCTTCAGCCTGACGCTTGAAGCCGTACCATCTTCTCTTCACCCAGAGCTTAATGATGGAGCTTAAAAAATGGAAGATCTCGGGTAATAGAAAGCAACAAGACCAGTGGCACAGCGCTTTACCAAGCACTCCATCGCTTCCAGAAGCTACGCGTGTTAGTTGACACTCAGAATCACCGAGGTAAATAATGTGCTGAGAAACACATACTCGAGGAGCTACTGCCTCATCAGGTCGTCACCAAAGTGCATCCCAGATATCTGCTGCATCACAAACAGCCCGGTGTTATGCAAGCATCAAAACAATTCCCGGTGGCCTTTCTGCCTGGCCACCCAATCCGCGTCCTGAAATCTGAGTACATATTCTGTCTAATCTCGATAAGGACAAACATGTAACAAGTCTGGCACGGACGGCTACCATCATTGCATCATTATCAGTAAAACTGCAAACGATAAATTCCTCACTACCAAAGTTGTCCCGAATCTAAGCACCGTCTGCATTTGCCTTGGGGAGCATGAAAACCCATCCAAATCCTCGTACTTCCTCTCCCTTTGTCCCGAAGAACAAATCCGTCTCGTAGACCCAGTTCGTATGGCCTACGATGCAGTCACGAAGCCCCTGCATCCACAGCATGAGGTCGTCACATTCCTGTTTTTCGCCAACTTTCTCCTCTACCGTGCCCATCAAAGCACTCCATATCCAGGCAAACCGAGCTGAAGATGTCGGGGGCTGCCTCAAAGCTGACACGATCCGACGCTCCGTCTCGAGGAAACCGTCGATGGCATCCTTCACCATTGTCCCTGCTTGCTGAGAGGCGACCTGCACCGACAACCGCTTGTGAGCCATTAGAAGAGAAACGAGATTGTATTGCTTGTTGATGGACTGATCCACGTTGTACCCGACAATGTCCTGGACGTCCTTGTCAGTGAAACAAAAGGAAAGGTCAAGGAATGTACGAACCACTGTCCAAGCAATAATATTAACCGCTTGTTGCTGAAGACGACCAACGTCCTCCGATACCTTTCCTTCGATATCCAGCCCTTCAGCCGGTTCTATAAAGTCGAGGACTATCTTGATACCGTTCAGGTCCGGCAAAAGATCGAGGTACTCTGCAATTCCAGGAACATGGTGTCGGTTCTCCATAACCTTAAGTTGTGCAGAGCGATAGGTTCGTACGGATTCCGTGAATCTGTTCTTCCACATCTGAGATGCCTCATCGTATATCTTCCGAATACGAGGGACGAGGCTACTGAATTAGAACGACTGAAATACATAATTTAATGATACTCACTGCACCAATATTCTGTGACCAGAGAAAAGGTCGACTCCGTTCCCTGTACCATCGCCTGACCAACAAGACCGCAAAGGTTGGCGCCAAAGCCGGGCGTTCGAATAGACCATCAGCGTGCAGAGGTCGGTGAAAAGACGAAGCTGAGGCCCGTCGCACGTAGGGAAGCATAGTGAGGCCAGAAGGCCTGCTTTCACGCCAGTCAACGTTTCACACTCTGCCTCATTTAGTATTGGAGGATCTTGGGTGCGAATCCACGCTTCCGACGCGTCAGTTATTCTCCGGCAGTGCTTGTTGGCACGTAAGTTAAAGGATCGACTGTAGCTCAGGATATCAGGAAGCTGGAAACTGGCCATTCATTGGTACAAATAATCAAGAACGTGGCGGTCCGAAAGAAAAGAATAGATAGTCACGTGCACACTGCTGAACTGTCCATCCCTAAAAAAAATTGCACAGCGAAAATACCGTACCGTACGACGTGGACGTCGTACATTAATACGGCTAACGAATCAAATATAAACGGGAAGCTAGCTTCCAGATAATTGCGAAGAGGCTAGTAGGAGAACCCATTTCATGCACCCTACTAGTAGTAGCCGCCATATTTAAACGTTAATTTATGGTTTTTAAAGTGCCCAGTTAGAAGGCATTATTTTGGCTCAGAGTCAAAGTTACGCTATTTGTAGGAAAATTAAAGTTAGAAGAGACGCAGAGCAAAATCGGAAAGGCACCAACAGAGTCCATCTCGTAGTCCCCCAGCACCTCAACGTCTACATCACGGTTGATTACTATATGCCTGGGTTTCTGGAAGTCGCAAGTCAGCGAAGAATTATCTATCGGTACTAAACCAACACGAACAGATGCGCCGTCTGCGGAGATGGGCAGACGTCTCCCTTCGCTATCCAGAGTGAAAGAGGCGGCCAATGCTGAGCCATCTACAGTCGTCTTCATACCTCTGCGCGCGTTGAGGCTAAGATACAAAGGTCAGCATGTCTGTCATTCAGAATACCACCATGTTGTCTCACGTCGCCAGAAGCGAATTGGAATACACTGGAAACATGGCAGTCAGATGATATTGGCGCGAGAAGAACATAACAACGCACGTCTTCCGAGATTGAAAAAGAATGTGATATAAAGAAATGTATTGGGGTAAACGAGGATCTGAAACGCTCAGATATTTCATTGCCAGCAAAGACTCGTAGCTTACCATAATGAGAGACATGATGGCGCAGATGCTACATGAGAAACAGGTCAGCATCCGAAAAGACTTGCCTCATGATGACTTACCTCGTAAGTAACCCGGTATTCATTGTAAAAAGGATCATCTTGTTCATCATTGCGTCCGACCTAGCGATGCTTTATGACTTTATCAGGGAGTGAAAAGTCCCTCCTAACCTTTTCATTCCGGACTTGGAACGATGCAGCAAGAAGATAAGTGATCCACAGATTGACATATCTCCCGCAGCGGCAAGGGCGTTCATCGATTGCGATAGCGACTGTATTCATAAGCTTCTCGAAAGGTGGACCTGAGGACTTGCACTAACCCTGACTTTAAACGACTCGGAATAGAACTCAAGGGCCCATCTAGAAGGCCAGGTAAGATGAATATGGATAGTCGAATAGTAGCTGGAATTTACGCTTTGGAGAAGTACGCTGCAACATAGGATTGAGCTAGTGTCGGAGTGTCGCTGATTATGGTAGCCACCTACCGATGCACACAAAAAATTCCGCAGCAACGAGAGAGCCCTTTGGTTCGTGAGAATACTTCACATTGTCGCCATGGCGAGACCAACGTACCAGAAACAGGATGAGATAGAGATTTCTATGGCTCACTGTTCGTGAACGTCAGTGAAACAAAAGACAGAAGAGATATAGTACGCTAACATATCCAAACGCGATACGTAAAGAATCTGCTAGGATTGGGCCTGTAGTATCAATAGTATACAGATTTTAATAAAACGCACGACTGGACCATTAGAGCTACGCATGCCTGTCAGGAAGATCAGCTGTGTCGGGGAGAAAGACTCAGACCAAAGAATTACGCACTGACGGTATGACCTCGACCTGAGAGTTGAGGCGTGGGTCACAGCAATTTGAATGCATCCGACACATGGACTTACAAGTATGCTCCTGGTTTAGAATGTTACTGTTCCTCGTTGTGGTTCCAAAGAGACGAAATTTACTCACCATTCAATGATCTCTAGCTGCGCTAGATCGGCGAAATGGGATACCAAGTAGACGTATATTGTATGGCAGATTAGGATTTCGTGGAAGGTGTCCATAACACTATAGTGCACGTCATGTGAGATAGCCGAGACAGACAGAACCGGACTTACAATGTTGCAAGAACCTATATGCAGACTCGGAATTGAAGTCTAATAAGAAAGATCGGCTTCCTAACTCACCAGAATCCGGAAGCCAAGGGTGTCAAGTCTCCAGTAGCGCTGGTAATGGGAACATTCAATCATTGTCAAAAGCTGATAAACAGAAAGACGCTTACATTGATGTACGAAAACGTTTGTACACAAGTAACACCCCATAGTCTAGATGGCGTCAAAATTATCCGTCAAGTAACTAACGCGTTGTCGACTCACGCGGTAGAGAATCTGTTCAAAGTTGAGGTCTTGTCAAGGACAGAATGTAGCATACCAGTTACTTACAAAACGCCGACGAGAAGGGCTCCCATCTGTAGCGATATTTGAGCGCGAAACAACAGTGTAGTTTGCCACACACAACGCACCGTGTTGTCAAGAGCAGGAACTGCCGTTGTCGTACTCATTTTTCCCGTGTTTGAGAGACCCAGAGACAGAAGAGAAAGCCGGGGTGAAAGAAAAGACCACCTCGGCGGTTTCCCCTCCCCTCCCTTGTGAATTTCCATCATCTCCTATAATAACAAGATTTTGCCACATGTGGACTGGATTGCTTCCCTTCAGGCCCGATATCAGCGCGCATGGCAAGAGATTGGGAGGCAACCGCGATAATAATATGCCATGGGTGGGTGAGTCTAAGCGAAAAAGGAAAGTTTGGCAATATTCTTTTTAATAGCTGGGAACAATTGAGAACTATATGATATCGAGAAAATATTTTCAGATATCATATGAGAGTTCTACATAGAAAATCCAAGAAACTTAGAAATGAAGGGTGAGCGGCTGCGATGACAGTTCGGGAGCGGAAGATTGATGGGAACGTGTTCAAGCTGGACGGCTCTTCGGCCCCGATCTATTGTGGCCACTTCCACCATAAAAGGTTTCTTGGACGACCGAATCAAGCATGCTGCTCCAGTCGCAATACCGAGTGGATCTATACCTCCACTTTGGAACCGCCCTCATACCTCGTGTCGCAAATGCGGCGTAATTTTTATTCATCGCTCGTTCTCTAATGCTAGCATGTCGAATTTTTCAAAACGACACAACCCGATTCCTCGGCGGCACAGTCAATCTCAATATGCGATATGTCAAGCGGTCCTGGCTGTCGACTCCTCTGATTTGTTCTGATTTCGCCATCAAAACTTTAACGTGACCTAGCAAATCACTTGGAATTCTGATTCTATCTGATATCTCACTGATCTTCTTGCCAACGAAACTAACATAAAAAGCACATGGTCATTTATTAGCCTAGGAACCTACATAGCACCCAGGGTTGTCGAATAGATCCATGTCTCACTTCCATCAAAAAGAAACTTCACTGCCGCTTGTCCAGGTAGCAGGAACCAGGTACCTCGGCGCTCGGATCCAGCCTATGTGTATTTGTGGGTCTGAACTCATATATTAATGCGGCTCAGGTAAAGCATCATCACTTCAACTCAAATTACTCTCATCATGAGCTCTCTGCCAGATGTCCCACTTCTTACAGCCATCGTTCTCACCATCGTCCTCACTGTTCTACTTGTCAGGAAGAATCTTAATCGCCATGGTCCTCTTCCTCCAGGACCCTCGGGGCTGCCTTTCCTTGGAAATGCATTGGAGATGAGTGGCCCATATCCTTGGCTGAAGTATACAGAATGGAGCAAGCAGTACGGTCGGTGTTATCCGTTTGCTGCATTGGATCATGTTGATATACATCCGTTCACCAGGCGACGTGGTTCACATCAAAGCTGCCGGCCAATCCGTAATTATCTTGAGTTCCCCCCAAGCGCTATCAGATCTCCTAGAACAACGGGGTGCCATATACTCCGACCGTCCGCGTCTCATTATGGGTGGTGAACTGTGAGACTATCCAGTCGACATTTGTTTCTCATGGCCTTACTATCCTGGTTACAGTGCCGGCTACGTTGATAGTGTCCCTCTTTGTCCATATGGGAGCAGGCTGCGCGAATACCGCAAACTGATGTCTGAAGCTCTGACTCCTCGCAGGGTCCAAGATTACTTTGCTCTAGAAGAGGAAAAAACTAGGGAGTTTTTGGGGTGCCTACTACGTAGTCCTGACCAATTCCTACATCACATCAGAAGGTCGGTATTTCACCTTCCACGCAGACTCTTGTATCTTACTACGTGGATCCAGGAATATTGCCGCTATTGTGTTCAAAATCACTCATGGATATGATTTGAAAGACGGCTTGGATCCTTTGATGGAATTAGCGGAACGCGGGGATCACGACTTTTCTGACGCGGCAAGCGCTGGAGCCTTTCTCGTCGACTCTTTTCCGGTCCGTAAGTAATCATTTTTTGATCCGTGTCCCGCTCAGCCCTGATTCGCTGTTCTCGTTTCAGTACTCTACCTACCACGATGGTTAGGCTTGAATTGGATGAAGAGAGCCAAGATATTCCGTAAAAACATGGAGGAACTCCGAGACACTCCCTGGGAAACTGTAAAGGAACAAGTGGTCAGTCTCACCTTACGTCTGTCTAGTACGCGAATTATTGACGAGATGAACAGAAGAAAGGAACTGCCGTTCCGTCATTCGCGGCGAATTTGATTGAGAAGAACGGCGACCTCTCAAAGGACCAAGAAGATATATACAAGTGGGTCTCGACGGCCTTCTATGCTGGTTCGTCATGTCATATATCAAGCTATCCTTTGCTTAATTTTCTCGTTACCAGGTGGTGCTGATACAGCAAGTAACTTAACCATCTCCCGAGCTGTCCGCTTATGATGCCCCTTCTAGTCCGTGTCCGCTATAGCGTCCTTTTTCCTTTGCATGTCCCTGTATCCCGATATACAGCGCAAAGCCCAGGAAGAGGTACTGCGTGTGGTAGGAACCAGCCGATTGCCTACGTTCTCCGACCGGCCGCTTCTTCCCTATCTAGAAGCAGTGATCAATGAGGTACACCGTATGAACCCCGTTGGTCCTACTGCCCTTCCACATAGATCAAGCCAAGATGATCATTACAACGGGTATTTCATTCCAGCTGGATCCATCGTGATACCGAACAGCTGGTAAGCGTATCAATATTCTTACCCGTCTACTGATGTCCGACCAAATTAGGGCTGTTCTTCACGACCCGGATGTCTATCCGTCGCCATTCGAGTTTTTGCCGGAGCGATATTTCGACGATGCAGCTAAGACGAAAGGTCTAAACCCTGATCCTCGCAAATTCGTCTTTGGCTATGGACGACGGTATTGGCCTTTACCCCTCGGTTCCGTATATGAATCGTTGATGCGCATCCTAGAGTATGTCCGGGACGGCACCTCGCCGATAACTCTCTCTTCATCGCTATCGTGATGATACTGTCAGTCTTTGACGTTTCCCGAATCGACGAAAAGGCCCCGAAGCCAGATTTCTCCCGCAGCGAAGGGTATATTTCATCGACTATTTGGTAAGTTCCAGGTATCTATAACCTTCGAGTGAATATTAATACGGCACAGTCACCCTGAACCTTTTAAGTGCCATATCGCACCACGGTCAGAGGAAGCAGCGATGTTGATAAGAGCGAATGACCCAAGGAAGGTCGATCATAGCCTTTAAGGCTCCCCCAATTACAGACGATGGGGTCTTCTTATTCTGATGTAAGGCGTAATATTGACCTTAATATAGACTCGAAGCAAAATTATAAAGCTTATTTATTCGGAAATCGTTCCATGATGGCTTTCACCGAGGGCCTTTGCGTAATGGATGTGATAAGTCAAGTACGAATCTGTCGGTACTAGCCGGGTTTGACAACGAGACCTTAACTATGTTCTAAGCATTTCCTTGGATTTACCCATTGTTGGATTGTCTGGAGTTTCCTCTTCCCCGACATCTCCTTACACACAAGATACCGACCTTTCCCTGCCATTGACGCCAATCTGATCAATACCCAGTCTCGTGAACAAGACTCAGCGATCCGTATGAAGACCAGTCGCTGAATATGTCGATATCGAGCGCGCGGCGTATATAGCCTGGAACATTCTCTTCGCTTCCCAAAGCAATTTCCCGGCCTCTGGTCCGGGAGATTGATTGACCTTCTGGATGATGACGTCTCAGATATCATGTCCTCGGTCTGTAGTTTATGTAGAACAGTCGCGGACCGTCTCCATCGTTTCAAGCGATATGTTAACGAAAAGTTGGCGCTGAAGCAGTTGCATGTTCTCTCCTGGAATTTCGGCCTCGCTGTTCCTCTCAGCGTTACTTACAGTCGGGCCCATACAGGCTGACGCTTTTCAAGTCCCAAGGCTTCGTATTACCTAGCCCTAACCGCCATTAACTCAACGAGCGCCCATAAACTCCAGACTCTTGCTTATGACCGCTCTATCCACTCGCAAAAGAAGCGCGTTGCTGTAAATATGTATGCAAATGCCTGTAACTCCTTTCTGAAAGGAATATAGTACATGTGCCAGTTTCTTGAAGCGACGGAGTTTTGAAAAAGTTGTGTTTCTTGGTCGCATGCATGGTGCTATCTCATCTTCTTATTTCGTTATACGCGTCGACAGATGTGATATCGACCTTGGACCTGGAAGGACAATTGAATTATATGCCTATTTCTTCCGAATTCCATGATTTCTCCCACCACAGGTCTTCCATTTTTAAGCTCCATCATCGTATGCTCCCTGTATACGGAGAAAGCACGCGCCGGTACAATCACTGTGCTCCAACTTCCAACTTGGAAGGGGTTTGAACTTTGTTGCCTCCGATTCGGAAACTTGGGCTGTGTCTCAAGGTTTGCTTCTTTTTTCCTCGAAGACCGAAGAGGTCTTTATCTTGAGAGTAGAAGCTGTTTATTGCCTCCTTTGTACTCTCATGCAATTTTTTTTTCTCTTGTTGACAGCGTGATTTCGAAATTGGATCCTGGGCAGCATCGACTGGGAGAGGAATTGATAGATCGAAGAACCCCGCCATACGTAGTCTCCTCGCTCCCTGATACTTGGCTAGGAATACTGCATCCCACGCGCTCCGTTCAAACTATTCTGAAGTTTCCCAATGACCCTGTCCGGAGTGAAATCTGTTTTTTTTTTCTTCTCAGGGACATCTATCAGAATAAGTACACCTTTCCCGGAGCTTGAACTCGCTTACGCTTGCTTCGTCCAGAATACAAGCCTAGTTTAGAGATTGTAGCCCCCCTCGAGAACCTTTACTGGCTCCCAGGGCAAATAGGTAGTTAATACCAGTCATTTATGATCCTGGCTTTTCATTTTCTTCACGCATTGGACAATTTCTTAAACTCAGACTCGTAAGTACTCGTCTCTCATCGATACTACTTAGTACGAACGCTCTTTCCGGGAAAATACTCAAATAAACATGAACAATATCCCTGTTTGCCACCCTGCGATCCGAGTCAAAGTGGACTCGTACCAGGACAGCAGGGGACTGAAATAGCCATCTAATCAGGAAAACCGATATTTATGCCGACGGGCCAGCCGGCAGCCGGGAGATGGACTCTAGCAGCTGTGACAATTGGTACCAAAGACTTGGAATAACGCACGGAGCATGAAGTCTTCAAACCAGCACTCGGCCTCCGACGAATCCTTTGCGGGTCTACCAAAGCGCTGTGGGATAAGAGAACAGCTGTTGTGAGGAGGTGAAACGACGTACCTTCCCGGACAGAGCTCTGCCGGGAATCCGTCGCACTTTGTCTTGATTCACGAATGCCTTGGTCTTGGCGAGTTCACCTGCCGTCATGCTTGTTAGGATATCAGCAAGGGTATACTTGATGAAATCCTGACGCTGGCCTGTTGCCAGGCGGAGTCTATCAGTCCTTGAACTGCCTTCGCGATGCGATCCTGCATCTCCTGGTTGCCACAACTCGAGCCAGTCATGGAATCTATCAGTCTGTTGGCATCTACCGGGAGTTCCATGGAGTCTGAGGAAAGCTAATACATGTTCGAAACCATCGTAAGTGGTGGATTGAGTACAAGGGGCCAGATGAGAAGTATGTAATAGAGCAGCACATAGAGTGGGAGAATGTTCCACTATCGCTTCATTTGAAAGCTGTTGCGACGTGTTGAACCGTGTAGACTAGTAGGAGATGCCGTCATTTGCTATGTGAAAAGGGTTCTAGGCAGCTTTGATACTGCCATGCTGCAACAGAAAGATAGAGCAGGAGGGCAGACGTGGTTGTTGCTGCCAGGTCATCGTCTCGGGTAGGTAATAGGTAGGATTACTTACAAGTGACACAGTCTGTCCGAGTTGCCCGACTTGACGAAGCCGAACGTGACAGTGGTCACGGGATCACGTGAATAACCTGTGCACAGGCCACGGTCAGCAAACTACCCTCATTTCTCTGTTTTTTTACCTTTCTGCACGACTGGATGACAAGGAACGAATGAGCCTGCATCGACTCATATTATTCATAAATAATGCCAGAGAAGAAAACTTACGCGTTCCAATGTGACCCATCCCATTTTGTCAAGGACGACGAAGATTTTTTTGAAAGCATAACTGCAAATGTCAGATACCAGTAGCTGTTGTCCCTTGTGTTGCTTGTGCGTACGACTTTTCTTTAAAGATTTGCCCTCCAACTAACTTCAGCCAGAAAATCCTAGGAACATTAGCATACATTCGCTTTACGGAGTTATACCTTCTAGTTTGTCCTTGTAACGCGACCATCATGTGCTTGCCCTTATAAGAATGATCACACGACAAGATATGCTCGACGGCATTTTTCCATCATCGGACTACGCGGTCCGGCAGCCTCAACCATCGTTCTTCATCCCCGGCTTTCTCTTGGCTTCTTTCGCACTGCACTCCATCTCCCATGGCATCGATCCGCATCGATATCGAGCGTATTATCTCGTCTGTAGACCCTCGCATATACTCTGGCTTCATTGAGCATATGGGACGATGCATCTACGGCGGAATCTACGAACCCGACAACCAGTACGGTCTTTCCGATCCCAAGACAGGCTTCAGAAACGACGTTTTGGCCGTGTTAAAGGACCTCAAGATTCCCATCGTTAGGTATCCCGGAGGGTAGGCCACCGCCTTGCTGTTTCCATTGTTTTCCTCGTTGAGCATGTTCTCCTTGGAGGAACTTTGTGAGCAGTTACCGATGGCAAGATGGCATTGGACCAAAGGAGCTGAGACCGCGTCGCCCGGAACTGGCGTGGTTGTCGGAAGAGAGCAATTTCTTTGGAACTGACGAGTTCATTGATTTCTGTCGTGAGCTGGGAACAGAGCCCTTTATCTGCCTCAATATGGGAACAGGGACATTGCAGGATGCCCTAGCATGGCTCGAATACTGTAACAGGCAGGTTTTTTGAATTCGTACCTCTTTCGTCTTCTCACCCGTTTGTAACAGCTCGGCTAACACTTACTACGCTAATCTAAGGCGCAAGAATGGCCATGATGAACCTCACAATGTGAAATACTGGGCGCTCGGTAAGCTCTCAACTGACTTTGGTCATTTCGCGTCTTTGATCACCCCTTGCTTAGGCAACGAGGTCTGGGGTCCATGGCAAAGCAAGTATTGCCTTGTCTCGTTGGATGCTTGACTCATGCGACTCTAACAGTCGGTCAGCAAGAATCACAAGACTATGCCAAGAAAGCGTACCAGTGGGCAAAGGCCCTCAAACTTCTGGATCCTTCCGTCAAACTCGTCTCTTGCGGCGGTACTGTTCTGTGTTGTATGGCGGATGTGGATGTACTTATCTGCTGGTTCAGAAACCGGATACGCTGACTGGGATCGTGTGATCCTCCGCAAGTTGGCCTCTGTGGTTGATTTCCATTCCATACATAGTGAGAATTTAGTATTTGCTTCAATTCGGTATCGCTGAAATTCAGATTTGCAGTATACACCGTCAGCGAAGGCAAGCATGCGGTTAATGTGATTGGTCGTACGTACAGTGCTTTGCTTGCCATGCTTATTGGTGATCCTTGGAATAGCTGCAGCTGCAGAGAAAGCGCTAGATATCACTCGTTCTCTCATCGATCTTGCTAAGATCGAGGCAGGGTTAGAGAAAGACCTAACTGTGTAAATCTAGCTCTCTTCTTTCCAAAGTCACGAAGTTCGTGACTGATCCTTTTCTACCAGTTGCTTTGACGAATGGAACGTCTGGTAAGAACACTTGACGTTCTTATCTGACCGGTCGCTCACGACTACACTAGGGATCCAGTTCGTGGTAAGCCGGCCCTCCTCGCCAGCATTCTGTTGACCACTAATATGGTCCCTGCCTAGCCCCCGGAGAGAAAGGCGCCGAAGAGCATTATGACCTTTCTGATGCCATCGCTGTTGCATCATGGTTGAATGTATTCGTCCGGAAAGCGGATATTGTGAAGATTGCATGTATCGCACAGTAAGTCTTCCATGCTACCCTTTACAACGAACTGATAACTGACTACTTTTCAGGTCTGTCAATGTCATTTCTCCCGTAGGTTTAGTGGCAAACTGGATTCCTTATCGTTGAATGCTTCGGTATCGTAGATCATCACGTCTTCGCAAGGGCTCTTCAAGCAGGTGAGTTGCACTGTTATAGCTTCCTTCTCCTGTCTTACACCATACTCTAGACGACATACTATCCACTTCACCTGTTTACCAATCTCATGCGGGGAGCTTCTCTCGCGGTGCATGTAAACTCGCCCGTATACAATGGTCCCACCGTTCCTACATGGATCAAGCAACTAGACACCCACACACCCAATGCGTTCAAGTTGACCAAGTACATCGATGTCAGTGCTGTGTATGTGGAAGAGAGCAAAGAGGTTCGGATCGCGGTGGTCAACCGGCATCAGAGTGAAGACTTTACGGTGCCGATTATCTTTGCGCAGCCAGTAGGGGAGAAGACGGTAAAGGTTTATGAAGTCTGGAGCCCGCAGTTAGGCGATAAGAATGGATTTGAGGGTGAGAAGGTTAGCACCGTTCAGAAGGAGGTGGATTGGGAGGGTAGCTATGTTTTGAAGAGGCATTCGTTCCAAGGTAGGATCATGGAATTGGTCTGAAGCGTTCTCTTACATTGCTTTTTCACCCATAGTGTTGGTATTCAAGTTTGCTTAGAATAGCAACGCCGGTCGGCGGTCGGTGTATGGTTCTTCTGTAACTTGGCATATGTTCGTTCCTCGTTGTTCTGACCCATATTGATGTTGCCTAAGAACACGTTTTGTATCAAAGATCTGCGAAGTCTTGACACGTTCTCCAGATCTTTCTTCCCTGGTTGTCAACAAACTAGCATCGATGTCCACATGCATGCAGAGCTGCGGACGCCAAGTCGATCACTGTTCCAAAAAGTATTCAGGTATCACGCAGAGGCACGAGACCTGAGGCTACCACCATTCCTAGGAGGTTAATACCTCCTGCTGGTCTTCCACCTGGATTCCAACGCCTATAGCTGATGGACGGACAAACTGCGGGAAAAGTTACTGACATCAATCACCCCACGCAGGGACATTCATGTTCTTATGACCCACTCAACAACTAACCGGACCGTCTCTTCCCCGGAAAGCCTACAAAAACACGGATAGAGTATTGTTGAGTGAGATTTCTCTCAATTTCACGAACATGATCTTAACGCTCTCACCAAAGTGGTATACTTGGCTTTGTGGACTGTTCGCTAGTGAGTCTAAACTCTTCTGGGCGAAAACTGAGGTTCTCATTCGTCTTAGGTCTGGGCAGTATCATCTTTGGATACGACCTCGGTGTCATCGCGGGGGTGTTGGCGGCAACGGATTTTGCTGTACGCTTTCTGTCGTTCTATCCATTGCGCCTTCTAACTTTGCGGTCAAGGATACTATGGATTCACGATTCGGGAATGATGGTTTGAAGGGTCTAGTAACCAGTATCTTCGGTTCGTGTCGTCAGCTTTGACTGTGTCCATTTGTTCATTCGTGACTTTGTTCTAGTGCTGGGGTGGTACGTCCTCTTATCACTATATCAAACGTTGACCTGAAGCAGTGATCAGCTTCTTCGGAATGTTCCCTGTCGCGTATGCCGCAGATATTCTGGGACGTCGCAAGACCATTCTTCTCGGCGGCCTTATATACATGTCAGCTTCTTTTCTTTTGACGTGCTGCTTCTACGATACCAAATCCGGATCTTTGCAGTCTTGGCGGGGCCCTTCAAACCTCTGCTGAGAACATGGATATGATGCTTGCTGGTCGGTTCTTTGCCGGTACGTCGTGTCGATTTCTTTGACTTTGTCATAGATAGTTCAACCCACTAGGTTTTGGTTCTGGAATCATGTCGGATTTGGCACCATTATATCAGGTAGCACGGTTATCTTGTTTGTTTGGTTTGGTGCTGACTGGCTTTGTGCAGGCAGAGATTGCTCACCCTAGTATTCGAGGCCGGCTTACTACTTTACAACAGGTGAGCGAAATTTATGGACACTGGAGTAACAAGCTGACTTTTTCTTTTTGATAGTTCATGCTGGGAATTGGAGGTACGGCGCTTGTTCATTATTCTTGTCATAGTAATGACGCACGTATAGCATTTGTTGCATCTTGGGTGGTAGGTCCTCCTTCATCGGTACCTATCCTTGCTAACGATTGTAGACCTACGGGACCGCCCAAGGACTTCCCGGTACACAATCGGAATGGAGGATCCCGTTGGGTATTCAAGTAAGACGGCTTTCGTTCTCTAGTATTTGTTGCGGGACGACACAAGTACCTGATGTCAACCTTATATAAGCA